GGCTTCCACGTTGTACTCGTCTACCACGACGGGATCCGCCGCAGGAACCGAGTCCTCCCGTCTCGCCCTTTTCGCGCTCGGGCCTCCGTTTTCTAGAGCAGAATCCGGCTCCCGCCGCTTCTTTGCTTCTGGAGGGTCACTGTCTACTTGCATAGCCTGAGCAGCTCCAGGAGATACGATTTCCTCCTCGGATACATCATCCTCGTCTTCGTCTGGAGGCGGGCCATCGAGAAAAGAGAAGAGGTCGGCCATGGCGGTCGGAGATAAGTGAGCTTCGCGTCGCCAAAATTCTGTTGACGCGCCTCCCGTGCGCACGTGGACGCGCGACTACAGAGCTTCGGCAAGACGAAATACGCCAGTCGTTCCTTTCCCCAAACCACATCGGTCGTGTGCGTCGGGGCCACAGCCTTCTCTCGGTGTCAGCCTCGAGGTTACGAGCAGGTCAATTGTACTACGCAAGCTGAGCCTAATCGGGTCTGTGACCGCGCTCGGCGCATCAGCCTGTCTGCTGCCTCGTGTCCGTACACGCCTCGCGATAGCCATGCCAACACCACGTTTAAGACCGCAGCGCTGACCGGAATGGAGCCAATATACCGAATCTGTCCTGTTTATACTGCTTTTGACACGCTTTGGGCCCATCGCCTTTGACTTTTGCCCCAGTTTGCCCCAGCAGTCGCCGGACCCGTCGTCATCAGACAAGGCTTTGGCTCTCGGGCGGCCTGTCACTGCCACTCAACCCGCGTCAAAGTACGGTGCAATGCATCTCATCAACTTGTAGACAACGCCGCGAACGGCCAGGCCAGGGACGCAGACGCGCAGATATAGCTGGCTCGGCCACGGGCGAGAAGGCAATATCTCTGGCCGCCGATCATCCCCTTGACCAGACCACCATAATCATCGCCTTTTGCCGTCTGCTCGGCACGCTTTGTTTCTCTATCTATATCTTTTCCTTTGTTCTTCCTCTTCTGCATATCTATGGCTTTTCACTCCCGCAAACGTTCCGACAATCAAGACTATTACCGCTCGTGGGGAGCCTTTGACCGGCAATTCCTCCCTCAAGCCGATTCCCGTCCTTCCTCCCCGACTCCCACCATGTCTCTGCGTCGACATGCGCGCGAAGCCCTTGCTACACCCTCCGGATACTCCGAGTCCTTACTCTTTGAACCGACGCCATACGACTACGACGAGATACCTGCACCACGACACGCACCATCGGAGCATACACTATCCTACGCGGATTATCGGCCCGCGTCGCGTAATACAGAACGCACGCTGCGACGGCCAATGGCGCCGGAGCCTTACACCGTCTCCGGTGGTCCTTCGCAACCAGCGTCGTCAAGCTCGGGCTCTGAAGTGCCTGCCACTCCGCGAGACTGCGAGTCATTAGACAATATCTGGGACCAAGTACGACACCGCAAGGTGCGGGAGCTTCAAGGCCAGCCGAGCAAGGTCGCCTCACTTCGAACATACTCTGGAAGCACCCCACAAGACCGTGGTAGTGACCCACGCAAGGCTGGTCCTGTCCCGCGCTCGCCCGTCCCGCGTCCCGTGCAGCTCGGTTCGCCTGCACCAAGGCCAGTGCAACTCAATTCACCCGCCCCACGTCCTTTGCATCTCGGCTCTCCGGCACCCCATCCACCCCACCTCGAGATACCCAGCTCTATAACTCGGACGGATTCTCACCGGCGGAGGAGGCAGACCGATGGGTACGTCGTGCAAGGGTCGTGCCATCCAACGTTCATCCCTCGCTGACCTTAGCGCTCCACTCTGTAGCATCGTTCATTTCGAAGATTCCGCAGATGGTCAATGGGTGCGTCAGCCTCTCCGCACCGTTTGTGCGTGCGCGCTGAAACGTATATGACAGGTCATTGCCACCTTCATGTTGGGCGTTCCGAAGCGGGATATAGACGCGTCGTTCAAGGCCGATAGGTTCACCGTCAGCTGGCACACAGTACACGAGACGGAGCGCGTTGAACGCCGCACGGTGTACCGTGAACGCGAGGAGAAGCATCATAGTCGGACTATACAAGTCCCAGAGAAGACGAAGGTACGAGTTCATTCATAGACGCAGATGATAATATGTGCTAATCCTGGTGCGAACTCAGTTCGAAGACATTAAAGCATCCTATCACCCGAGCGACGGGCGGCTGATCATCAAGTATCCGAAAGCCCGCGCGGTGCGCGCTCGGTCACACCTCAACCATTAAAGCTGTATTCACAGAACCGGTCACTCGTATGTATCTGCGCTGCTTGCTATATTCTCGCTTTCTCCGTTCACATAGCCAACCTGTTGTAACTTTCCGAATTGATCATCGTGTTTTGACACGCAGAACCTCAGGCACCGGCTCCTACAAGCCCTAACGCCTTCCCCGCGCTAATCGTGTTCCTGCCGCGCTGCATGCCTTCACCTTGTTTTCCCCACCTTTCAAGAGCTCGGATCTGAGCAGGCATTCAGTCGCGTGGTTCTAGCGCTGTTATACGGTAAAACCCCGTGTCTTACGGTTGTTTCTCGGTTTGGCCCGCGGCGATGTGCTCATAGAGAAGCGCTGAGCAACATGATCACGCGAGTCAGCCAGCAACGCGCGATATGCAACGGTCTTGGCAGCCACTCTCGACAGCCGCATTAGAAGTCGATCTCTGATCTGTACCTTCAACATCGTACAAAGACCCCCTTCTCCAGCGGGCGCCAACGCTCTTCCGAGCTGACTTCTACCGACCGTATCCGACGTATACCGGAGAGGAGCACTATGATGATGCTATACTTGGTGTTCCGTAGTCCTATCTGTGGACTGTTCGCGCAATACCATGGCAGACTCGCGACCGGGTTCCGTCGTTTCTTCGGTCACCACATGCGCAAGACTATCCATAGGTAGATCACGCGCGGAGAGTATCCGAGCTCTTACCGCCATATGGGCTAGATTTTCACAAACTTCGTCTCACGTACAGTGTGCGGGGTCCGGCTATACCTCGCACCTACATCTCGTTTGCAACATACAAAAGCTACATCCTGCATGTGCCGGCTGGACAGCGCGACCTCTGTCGGCCCAGTTGTGCACGATGTTTGCCCGCCGTCGTTCCCTGGGGCTTAGTCTCCTGTCGCTTATTGCTGGAGGTGAGAAGTCTTACGGTCGCCAGTGGCGAGCATACGCTGATTGCCCGCTCTAGCCTCCGCCCAGTCATCCTCCTCCTTTACCGACCCTGTGAACGGCATCACTTTCCAAGGCATCACAGACTCTGTCTATGGTGTTCAATACGGATTTGTCTTCCCCCCAGTCGCTTCAAGCGGCTCCCAGCCGACGGACTTCATCGCCGAGATTGTAGCTCCGGTCGCTGCAAAATGGGTCGGTGTCGCACTCGGCGGCGCCATGATCGGTGACCTTCTCTTGGTCGCATGGCCGAATGGGAATAGTATAGTCACGTCTACTCGGTTTGCGACGTATGTCATCCTCTCTATGTGGATAAGTTCGATCCTAATGGGGATGCGCTAGCGGCTACGTACAGCCCGAGCCATTTGCAGGGCCGACCATTACGCAGCTTCCGTCGTCGACGGTAAGTTTGGCCCTCACATAGCCCATTTCTACTCTAAGGATCGTCGCGTAGGTCAACTCTACACATTGGCACCTCACCATACACTGCGAGAACTGCACCAGTAAGCTCGAATGTTCCATCCGGAGATCAACGATGTACTGATGGCGGACCGAAGCGTGGGGAGGCACCTCTTCTATGCCCACTACGAGTTCCGGAGTGCTTGCCTGGGCTTACTCGAGTGTTGCGGTAAACGACCCCTCGGACCCGGACAGTGACTTCCAGGAGCACACTGACTGTGAGTATGTCTTGAACGCCTAGTGGCGCGCGATACTCACGACAGTTCTCAGTCGGCTTCTTCGGCATGGACTACGCTGATGCGCACGCGTCCACTTCTGATTATGCGAACTACCTTGCGGGTAAGGGTGGATCTGGTGGCGGGTCTACGACAACAACTACACCGCCGACTACAACAACGACAACGACAACTTCTGCTTCTCCCACGGTCACAGTGCGTTTTGTGTGTATCCGGGCGATTCATCTCTGATGCCGTGCTTCAGGCTACTGCCTATGATTACATCGTCGTTGGGGCAGGTCCCGGTGGAATCATTACCGCAGACCGCTTATCAGAGGCTGGCAAGAAGGTACTCCTCCTCGAACGTGGCGGACCATCCACTGCAGAGACTGGCGGATGGTACAAGGCCCCATGGGCCCAGAACACCGACCTCACGAAGTTCGACGTCCCCGGTCTTTTCGAGACGATGTTTACCGGTAAGTCTTTCTGGCTCTTAATGTCACTCTCGCTCATACGGGTACAGACCCGAACCCTGCGTTCTGGTGGTGCAACGACATCACGGTCTTTGCCGGTTGTCTCATCGGCGGTGGTACTTCCATCAACGGTGCTCTCTACTGGTACCCTCCCGACTCTGACTTCTCGACGGCGAACGGGTGGCCAAGCGGATGGCAGAACCATGCGCCTTACACCAACAAGCTCTCCGCGCGCCTACCGAGTACCGACCACCCCAGTACGGATGGGAAGCGCTACCTTGAGCAGAGCTACAACGTTGCTGAACAGTTGCTCAAGCCAATGGGCTTCAACGCCGGCACTATCAACGACAACCCGAACAACAAGGACCACATCTACGGCTACTCGGCGTTCGACTTCATCGACGGCAAGCGTGGCGGCCCGGTCGCGACGTACCTACAGACAGCACAGGCGCGCCCCAACTTCACCCTGAAGCAGTACGTTTACGTGCAGAACCTTGTCCGCACCGGCGGCACTGTCACCGGAGTTCGCACAAACGACACCTCTCTTGGTCCGAATGGTATCATTCCGCTTACGCCCAACGGGCGCGTGGTTCTCAGCGCCGGCGCTTACGGTACTTCGCGTATCCTCTTCGCTAGCGGCATCGGCCCGTCCGACCAGCTCGCGATTGTCCAGCAAAACCCGACGTACTCTGCATGGCTCCCGAAGTCGAGCGACTTCATCAACTTGCCCGTTGGCATGAACGTCTCTGACAACCCTTCGATCAACGTGCGCAGTCCCCCTCCTATAGCCATGCTTGAGCTGTTCTGACTTACACGCCACAGTTGGTCTTCACGCACCCCGACATTGACGCCTACGAGAACTGGGCTAACGTCTGGGCGAACCCACGCCCCGCCGACGCGGCTCAATACATCAAGGACCAGTCCGGCGTGCTCGCTTCTGCATCTCCGAGGATGAACTTCTGGGAGGCGCTTGGTGGATCGGATGGCAAGACTCGCTACCTGCAGGGTACTGTCCGCCCTGGTGCGGCTTCGGTCAACACTACAAACGCGTACAACGCGAGTCAGATCTTCACGATCACGACCTACTTGTCCCAGGGCATCACCTCGCGTGGCCGCATCGGTATCACTGCTTCCATGAACGCTCAGCCTATCGTGCAGCCATGGTTCCGTACGTCGCCGCCATGCTCTCCACCCTGACTTATCTAATCCCTATTTCCCACTCGTAGAGGATCCCGTGGACCAAGCCGTTCTCACTCAGGCTATCAAGAACCTCGTCGGCGGCATCGCCAATGGTGGGCAGATCCTTAGAACTCGAGGCAGTCGCAATTGCTGACGTAGCCTTCATCTCAGTGCCCAACTTGACCATGATCACTCCTGACAACCACATGACGATCGACCAGTACATCAACGCCTATGACCGGGCAACAATGAATAGCAACCACTGGGTAACTTCCTCCCCTCGGATTGCTGAACTCGACACAGTACTCACGCCGTCCACAGGTCGGCGCCGCGAAGATCGGTACCAGTTCAGCCTCAGCCGTCGTTGACTCCAATGTGAAAGTCTTCAACACGAACAACCTGGTAAGCAAACTGCTCGCTCCGACCGATCTTTCCATGACCCTGATATGGCGAACAGTTCGTGGTTGACGCTTCGATCATTCCCTCGCTGCCGATGGGCAACCCACACGGAATGCTCATGTCCGCAGCAGAACATGCTGTAGCAAACATCCTTGCGCTTTCGGGTGGTCCGTAGGTTGTGAATCATCTGGGGGTTTGGGTTCGCGCACGGGTATCAGCGCGTTTGTATCATTAGCATACTTGGGATTATAAAACGGATGCAAACACGAATCGAGTGCTTGGATGTATCGGCGCGTCTTGAGGATGTATCGAGAGGAAGACGAGAGCGATATGGGTATTTCCATGAACAGGCTACAGATAGGATTCGATCTACGTGAAGAATTTACGATTCTCGTTCGGGCCAAATAGATCATAGCGAATCTCAGGCAACATCTGGTCCACAGTTAGCACACGTCAAACTAGTCGTGGGAGCGACGGAAGGTACGCACGCGGTCCTCGAGTAGACGTAGGCGCTCATCCAGGGTGTTGTCAATGGTAATGCGCTTTGTTGCGTTTACAACGACGACGCCGCCAGCACTGCACTGAGTCAGACGGTGCTATCCACATAGCGACGTACAGAACTCACAGGTCGTCGCTTAATGAGCCCTCTATCTGCACATCCACCTCCCGCCCAGCGCCAATCTCCGAGTACTGCTTCTTCAAGCTATCCAATGTCCCCTTAAATAGCTCTACGTCCTTTGCGCGCACGTGCACTGTCGCTGCGGGTTCCAGGATCTGCAGGAGGGCCTGTAAGGTGATCCCTTCAAGGAACTGCACATAACGGGCGTCATCCGCTGCAAGTTTGGCGATCTCCTCGCGTGCACCGGAAAACAGATCCTGAAGGTGCTCTTCCCGGCGATGCAGGAGCTTCAAGCGGGCCTTGTTCGTGAGCGTAGATTGGGCACTGTCAACCTGTCAATCACAACGCCATGGTACCGGAAGAGAGAATGCTATAAACGTACATCTTCTGAGCTGTCTCAGCGCCCTTGCGCTTCTTATCGTATTGCGCATCAATAGCTTGTTGCTCTTGCTTTACGAGTTTTGCCTAACCGAAAGTCGCATGAGTACGGTACACGGTCGGGATATAGCCACGTTCACGCACCTTCTCGATAGCGAACTCCTCGTCCGCCTTAACCTTGATTTCACGGGCTTTCTCCATCGCCTCCTGCTTGATGAAGGCCACCTGCAGTGCACATCTGACAGTCAGCAGTCTGTCTTGAGATCATCGCCACCCAGTCGCCAACTACAGCCACAGCTTCACGACTGCAGGTGCAATCCCGACTTACCATCTTGTTCATCTCCGTAAGAACTTCGTCATCGTTGAGCGGTGCCATGATGGAGGTATGACAGGTTCAGTCCGAGTAGATGTATGATGGCGCGTCAGGCGCAAGGCGAAGCGGGTCGTCGCAGTCGTCGACAAGCAGCTACAACCTCGGCGCGGCCATTCCAGCGGATCGGTCCGCCAGATGCGGTGCACGTGGCGCGCGTCATGCCCTGAATGAGTTCCCCGAAAGTCTGAAGTTGAGGCAACAAGACCTGTCAACGGTTTGCTTCACGACCACCATCTGCCTCGCTTCAACGGCCAGTGAGGTTCTTGAGCCTCTGTACTGGCCATCCCTCTCTGTGTCATATCCTGACTTCCGTCGCTCTTTACTCCTGCCCGTCTTTACCATCGTCGCTCCTTCGTTGTGCCTCTGCATCATTCCTTTGATCTCACTATAGAAATGTGTCTCCCCGATCTGGCCCGGAAGGTCTACGCAGCTCATGGTACATCCATTTATAGCATGCAAACGCGCAGGGGCTGATAAACTTCGTAAGGCGTCGTCGCTTCGCTGAATGTGATCGTGTTCGGCCTTTCCGTCAGGGTCAATGTACCTCTGAACTTCTCGTGTACGTTGTCCTCGACGGAGCGCGAGTTACATCTGATACAGCTCTATCACAGACTTTACTGGTCTACTTGTGCTTTGTCTGTCTGCTCTCACTGCTGTCCTCACTTTGCTCTTGTGAGTATCGAGGTGCCGCTGCGGCTATTGGATGTCAGTTTAGACCCTTCGACAGCTTGACACTTGACGTCGTATCGCAGACGGCGCTCTCGAGTACTCCAGCTTTCCAACTAGTCTATCTTGGACTTATGAGCATCTTCTGGCTCGGTACGTCATTGCGACGAACCCATGGATATACATATTGACCAAGTCGTCAGGATGCAACGCATTCACTACCGGTGTATGGGTGAAGAATCTCCTCCAATGTACCACTGTAGCTTTAGGTGTGCCGTCATGCCACCTACACTGGTCCCAACACTCAAGCTCACGTAGATCTTCCGGATGCCCCGGCGTGGTGTCAATCTCTGCATGCCCTAGAGGTGTTTGTTTGGATAAATTGGCTCATGCGTGCGTGCAACTTATACCGGCTAGATCTAGATCCAATAAATGATTATTTACTCAGTGGCGAGTCTGACAATCTTTCTGGCCGTATTCGTCGCCAAACAGCACCGTAATGGACAACAGCACGTCTGGACAACACCTCTGTCGCGTTTTACTGTTCGCCGAGGCCAACTTCGCGTCCCAACCTCGACCAAGGCAGATTCCGACTTTGCATCGCTACGGCGTCTAGAATCGCCCACGTCGGACTACTGCGTCTGACCATTCTGATGGTTTCACATACCCTCCCAGCACCCCGCGGCTTCTGCAACGCAGTTGTATTCTGATGGGGTTCGTCTTTTCCTTGGGTCGTTTGCCCCTTTTGGCACTCTGAGCAGCGCTCTTTGTTGCTGCTCTCGCTCCACACATCGTCTTCCCCCGTTGTATTCCTGTTATATGCCGATTTCAATATCCAACTTTCAATATTCATCTTCGCCACCGACACACTAAGAGGCGCAGCGCGCATCTTTCGATTTAGGCTGTGCGAGTGAGAACCTTTTCATCTCTATTGCACAGGCCCAAACCATTCATCTGCATCTTGATGCCTGGGCGCGACTTTGACGCCTTGACACAATGATGGAGAAACTTTACTCCATTCTCACCAGCGCGCGTAGAAGGTACATATAGCCCGCTTGAAACAATGGAGTTTTGCGCTACTCCTCTCCGGCACTGGCTCGTATCATGGAGTCGGCACTGAACATCACATCGCTGCAAGATCTGCGCTTCGCGTCGCAATCCATCACGACTCTCGTGTTCCCAGTCATCGTGGAGACTGTACTATTCGGTGAGCCAGCACCACGTCCAGATACCAAATACTCTGCAGCTGACTTGGGTGATAGTCATCTTCACTGCGATCGCAGTGGTTGCGCTTTACACGCTAATGTAAATGTGATGGAGCTTCCAGATCACGAAGTCCTACTCATGCTTCGTCGGTGACAGAGAGAAGGGCCTGCGCACGTCGCGCACGAACCAAGCACTACTCGCCGTCCTATTGACAACCTACATGATGTCCGGGACGGCTTGGGCAGGACATCTCCGCCTGGTCTGGGTAGATGCAAATCTTGCCTTCTCGACCTCGATCACTGCTGCCGTTGACGAAGGACTCATGCCACTCGATCTTGCCTTATATTACGCCAACGCAGACTTCCTGCTGATTCATGTCTGCACAAGCGTCGTCAACGTGAGCACTGCATCAACATCACACCTCGTACCGTGCTCAATGGCGTTGTCTAGCTTTTGCTTGGGGATGGGCTTGTCCTGTGGCGCGCGTACACAATTTGGGGACGACCGCGATGGCTACTCTATCTGTCATACGCCCTAATCTTCATCCTGCTATGTGCGTTCACGGGGCATCCGCGCTACCACATGATGCTGACCATCCTTCCAGGCCTACACGTCCTCAACGCCACCGTCTTCGTTGCGATAGAGTTGCCCACGGCGCCCGAAAACATACTCTATCTAGCAAACATCGACAAGCACGGAGGTGCCGTTGTATGCGGAGTTTCCATGGGTTGGACCGCTCTATGCAACGTGTTGGGAACATCGCTTATCGGGTACAAGGCCTGGTACGTATTCGATTTGACTTCGCGGAGACCATCAGCGCTCACGTTCTCGTGGTTTAGGGCTCACCGTAGAGATCTCAAACAGATGCTCAATGGCGGCTCACGCAAATCATATGCCGGGCGCATCCTAGCCCTCCTTGTTGAGTCCGGCCTGATCTATAGCGCTCTCTGGGTATGCTACGCGACATCACCAAATCGTCACCGCACTCACTCCCCCCTGAAGGTCCTGAACATACCGGCCTCATGCCCCGGCAGCGGTCTCGATAGCGATGGTTTCACGTACTACTGGCCCCTCATCATGGCACAGATAAGCGTGAGCCCAAAATCTTTCCGTCGCTACGGAGCGCGCGCTGATCATTTGCCAGGGAATGTATCCGGCGCTCATGCTCGTCGTGGTTGCGATGCAAAAGACAAGATTCGAAGAGCACTTGAGCGCCGGTGATGCCGTCAAACGGCGCGCGCCAGTCGAGCGTCAATCGTTGTCTATGCACTTCGCGTCGAATCACCACGCATCGTCCGACGTACTCTCAAGCGCATCGCCAGATCATCCGGTATTCTCAATGAAAGAGACCTTCGAGGACACACCATACGCTCATGTCACTGTATGAACTTGAAGTCGGGCTTCCAGCCGTAGATTATTTGTCATCTTGTACGCCAAGACCGACTGAAACTATACTAGACTACTGAAGACAGCCCCCCTGTCTTTTCCTTCTGAAGTTCGGCGACTCTCAAAGCTATATCTGCGCTCGTTGACGCTCTCAGTGGTGTTGTTCAGACACGGTAGAGTGGAAGTCCTCACCTTCGGCATAGTACTTCGACACATGCTGCCACCCTGAGCAGGACCGCCTCGTGTTCTGTCGGCACACGTCAATCGGCATACGAATAGGATTTGACAGCGCCCACTGACCTTGCGCGAATATGTCTTCCAACGTTCGGTTCCACTCATCGTCGACCAAGCATCTCCGTGTGAGACGATCCACTGCGCTACGTCGTTGAGATCCCCATTGGTCACTGACTTGTTGCGCTTCGAATAGTCGATCTTCGGCGGACCGCCGTCAGCCGTGATAGCCTCTCGCTTCTTAATACCACGGGTGGACTTCGTGGCAGATACTTTCCTAGGCTTCGATACAGGTCTGCGGGGCGAATCATCGTTGATCTCAATGACCTCTTGAGCAACGTGAGCTTTCTTCGCAGTCTTCGTCGAGGGTATCCGGATGCACATCCCTGTACTCACGATCAGACACGCACGGGAAATCCATCCGGGGGGGGACGTACCCGTACTGATCGTAGGCTTCTGCATTGCAGCTGGTACAGGGCTCCGTTCTTTGACCTCAGGAGACTTCTCTGCGAGAAGAGCCGGCGCCGAAGGAGGCTGTGGCGTTGCTGTCGCACGGATGATGGCGTCGATCTCATCCATACGGCTCAGGTAGTAATCCTTCCATTCCGCCGCGGAGTAACCTTGAGTCTTTGATGATACGTTAGCTGTAATGCATGTAAGACATGCTGAGGCTACGCACACCGTCCAATGCATCCAGAGCGTCTTTCCGCGAAGTCGCTCCGTCTCCGCCCGACATCCTTTGACGGATAGAAACCGACCCAGCAACGACGATGTCGTGGTTGGGAGACGGTGTGATGGCACGACGCGGGGTTGCGATTTGAGAATGATGGCCCCACAACGGGTTCAGTGGGTGTGCGCATAGGCCATGTGGATGATGTTGGTATGGTGAGAGGATAAGTCCACGGTTGGGCGAAAGGATACCCAGTGAAGTGGGTTGAGTGAGGCAGATTGGGTAGGTATTGAGAAACGCCTGAGCTCATGAACGGTGGAAAGGAATAGGACAATGGTTGGAGATCGTCGATGCGCTCAGGGTGGGTGACGGTGGTTCGAGCCTCGTCTCTTTGATGGCGTGCAGACTGTTCGTCCTGTGAAGTAGTAAGCTGGAAGGCTTGGCCACTCATCCTTGTGTACCCGTGTGGAAGTCAAGAGCAAGGATGGGGCTCACGGTCGCAGCTCGCGTTTATGTCAACCCTGCGCGAAGTGACACCGGCTACTTAAGCGAGCCGCTTGGCAGTTTCAGTTTCCAACCTCGACGCACAAAGGAACCGTCCATCTGAGGCCATGACAAGCTTGTCTGGGTGGTCATATATGACCGAACAACATACAGTATACAAGTTTGGGGCTGTACACACCGGCCTCGTCGTAGGATACTTCACACTTCAAACTATCTGATGTCAGATCACAAGGCGGACGGCACATACATTCGATCACTATCGTATTGCCATCGGCATTCTACTTCCCTTGAGGCTCAACCACGTCGTCCTTCCACCATAAAAAAAGCGAAAGTGATGGCGGCTGCTCCAGGAGGCTACCTGAGACTTTCCTCCGCATCCGGCGCGTATTCTACATCTCACAGGGCCTGGGCCATGTCTGTTATCTCTCAACATAGAATGTGCATGTTAGAAGTAGCATGCGCCTATCAACCCGAAGAAACGCACCGTCTTCTCGGCGATCGTACGCGATACCCCACGCCTCCGGCGAGCGAATGGGATACTGATCGATGATCGTCACAAGACGATATTGGACTATGGCAAAACTCACGGCGTACCTCTTCGGCGAAAGGCCCCCACCTCTCACTCGCAATCATGTCTTCCCAAGCAGCACCCCATGAATGTTGCCATTCCGCCATTAGTCGTTTGTGCTCAAGTGTCACCTTCCTTTTTCTTCCCGATCCTCGCGATTGTCTTCGACGCTTTCTTGAGGGGTGGTGCTCGTCCGAAGCAGATGTAGAAATTTCAGGAGTGCGTGCGCGTTTGTGAGAAGACGCAGCTGCGTGACGGGCGCGGCGAATTTCAGAACCTGTCTGTGTGACATGCGTTTTATTGTCGTTGTGATGACGGTAGCGCAGGACAAGCACTCGCCTCCGAAGAGTGCACCTTAGCACCCTCAGCATGCCGCTGCATCGACTTTGAGATACTTCCACTTCCGGAGCGCAGAGCGTCTACACTCGCGGGGCCGACAGGGGACTGCGAATCATGGGAGGGTGCGGCACGGATCGCCTCATCCATGCACCGTTTGATAACATCAGAGCGTGATCGATAGTAGTCACACCATTGCGCAGTGGTCATTCCTTTGGCCTGCATGAATAGTTTGTCATTAACAACATCCTGAACCAACAGGTCACGATTCAAAAGAGTACGTACGGAGTCCAAGGTTTTCAACGCATTCATGTAAGCATGCGGCGTGGTGCCTTTCAGACCGACCACGAGTGCTCCTGCAACAAGATTGTCGTATTCGTCGAAAGGCACAGTCATCGGAGAAAGATTAGCAGGCGGAGAGATGTGAATCTGGGAGGGATCCGGGAATTGTTGCATTCCATGCGATGGCCAGGACTTATGGCTGTGATAGAGAGGGGGTCCGGCGTAGTAACTGGATATACCGGGAGTCCCATGAGCACCGGCGATATATGGAGCGCTAGAGATGCCGTGCAATCCGAGAACACCAGATACATCCTTTGCACGATCCATGTCTGAACGCGGCCTGCGTAGTGCTTGGTGGGAGGGATGCCTCTTGAAAGGCCACATGTTATATACCCCGAAGAAGCGGGGGGATCATGCATCACGAGCTGTCTGAGCCAGGCGACGAAAACACCCTCGGGGAAGTGCTCATCGTCCTAACCTCTGGAGCGCCAGTGCTATCTCGAGCAAGGCTGGGAAAATCGCAGGTAATGTCACTCTGCAAAGGAAGTAAGAGCTTCTACCGGTGGGTATATCAGAGCAAGGCCGAGGCATCTCACTGAAGCAAGGTAAGTGTATGAGCAAAAGTACACGTCACTGAAGGGACCAGGCGTGTCTATGATGCTGGCAAACTGTCGCGGGTGTTGAGGCATATAGTGTTTGATGGCTTAAGTGTTGTAGTGATACTGTAGCTGGTGTATCGTAGATGTTCCGAGTGATCGAGAGACAGGGAGATGGGAACTGTTTGTAAGGAAAGGCGAGAAACCATCGTAAGGGCAGCTACACACGCCGCTTAGCGTACAGATGAAGAGTGCATAGGATGACCAGTCACCGGCACGCGGGGAAGAATTCCACACGACGACCAGCGGAGGTTCCACATTTTGACACTCTTGACAGATCTCGCCCAATCGTCTTCGCTAATGAACCACAGAACACTTTTCAGCGCCCACGTCCCGGTCGTTGCCAGGTTATGAATAGCAGTGCCACTGCCGTCGATCCACGATACGTGACCGACACCGCCCGGAAAGAGCCCAAAGCAGTGTCCTGCGCAGAGCGGCAGCACTCCCATCTTTCTACGAGTCCATGATGCCGACCGAGTACGGGCCATGGCGAACGATCCGTGTGAAGTCACCGCGACCCCAGCCTCGCCTTACAACCTAGTCCTTCTGAAGCCGACCAAGTCCTTCGAGCGAGGGTGAACGTCAACCTTGATAGCACATCTGGTCAGTTCTAGCGTGTAGGCGGGTATACTCTCGACGTACTTGTTGGACTGCATCGATGAGTTTACCGACGTGCCGACAGATGAGGTATCATTGACAGTCCGCGAGACAAGACAGGAGTCAGACCTGTTTGTGAGTCGAGTACTACGTAGCGCAGAAGCTGCGACTGTCGGAGGCGAGTAGCGGCGCGAATTCACTAGTTGATTGGGAGTAAGATACAGTAGAACCTTGTGGAGGAGCTTCCTGACGCCTTTAGATTGTGGTGTGAGGCAAGTTGAAAGGTCGAGAGCGCGCGCGTGAGAGCAAACGCGTCAGCAGCTCGGGGCCTCCCGTGTCGGGAGGCCTTCGCGCTGATGGCGCCGACGGACGTGAACCTCGGCCTCAACGTCGACGACGGGGCATTCCCAATTCGTTCTGTGACTTCTGCCACCGATCCTCTTTCAATGCAATGCAACTCTAGAGCATATACTACACGTGATTACTCGCAGTAACAACTTATGTAACCCAGGTCATGAGCAAGCTATGAGGGACATGGTAATGCTATATGGACTCGCCGAATACTAGTTGTCTCTACCAGCCAGTTTCTGCTCAATTCTCAGCCGGGAACCCTGGACCGCGCGAAACAGTATGTCTTTGCCGTTGTGCCGAGCATAGACTTAAGGTCCCATGATCGAAGAAGCTGGGCATAGCCTGTGTCGGTAGTGACTCGCCTGTGTCCGCGGGACTGGCCATCCTACGCAAGAAGGCCCGGCGCATTGGCGATGTACTCCTATCAGTCAGAGCATTAATTTCCGCTATCTAGACGTCTTAGGGAACATCGCTCTCTACTCTAGCCCACTGGTGGTTCTATCACCTAGGCTGGCGTATACATTTATCGATATGCCTCAAACAGACTGCTCATTGCCGGCAGTGATGACTCACAGAGATCTCTTCGAACTCCTCGTGTCGTCCACGTATGTAGACATCGACAAAGTTCCATCCCGAGCTGTCCGGCGAAGAGCTGCTGAGACGACCGAGGACATCGAGGTGCTACAGAACCTCCGCGCGGGTCCAGGCTTCACAATTGCACTCTCGCGTAGATACTAGACCGTGCAGACGGGCTGATACTATCGGAGCCTAAGGCAGTAGATATAAGGCAACAGAAGGATATACCGGCTTGGCCGCGATCGTGAGTCAAAGCAGATTTACATTCGTTCGATCCTAAACATATGAAGCTACGACACCGATGTTTTACTACTTCCCTGAGGGTTCTTTGGCCTACTGTCCTTCTTTACTTCTTCAGCCACCCGTCGTAAGATATCTGAAAGCACAACATGTGAGACACAACACATATGCTAGATGAACAAAAGAAAATACCAGGACGCCAGCGTCTGTAGGCCACCTCCCACGCATGCGCTGAGCGAATCGGGTGCTAATCATACGGTTATTTCAAAGACGAATCAGCTTCGAAAGCAAGGGTCTCGTACTCTCTTTGAGAAGTCCTCCCATCTCTCGATACCGGTCATATCGTCCCATACATCACCACAGGCGAACTGCCAGAGAGCCATTAAACGTCTGTGCTCAGGGCTTACCGCGTTCTGCTTGCGACGCCGCTTGGTCGGGCGAACCTCGTCTGACACGACTTCAGGATCAGATTCCTCGGGACTGCGTGCGCGCTTGCGGGAAGAAGCGGCCGAACGACTCAGAAAGTGGCGACTCGCTGATGCCTGTGCACTTAGACTGTTAGCGGTTTTGCACGAGCAGCATGGATTCGGAGAACTCACAGCCGAGGAAGTCTTTCCAGCACTCTCGACCGGCTTAGAATGTGTTGTACCAGATAAGATACCGGCCCGACCCTCAGACACCTGCGAAGCATTAGCCCATCAGGAATCGCGGATGAGGCCGAGGAGAAGTCCGAACCGTCTCGCCGCGCCACAGAAGATCAATCTGATCCGCACGTGCGAGATAATGCCTCGACCAGTCTTGCACTGTCATCTCAGACGCCTGAACAACAACCACATGCGCTTAGCGGAGTCCGAGAGTTGATCATGATGCACGAACCCCATCAAGTATATGCAGAGCTTCGAGACGCGACTTGTCGCCCTTGAAAGCACCGATGATCGCTGCGACGGTTTTATCCCTGGCTTCCAAAAGTCCGGTGTCCACCGATTGCGTAGTTGAAGGCTGCACTGAGTGCAGCGTAATGCCAGATGCTGCATGCTGTCCGGAACCCGAAGCAGAAGACATCTGATAGCTCGCAGTAGATTACGAATACAGTGGGTGTAGAGGCGATCGCGTCAAATGCCGTGTGTACTGTCTATGTGTTGGTATTGTAGGGATTCCTCCGGGAGGTACGGGTAGAACACCTACACTTGGGGACATCCTTATATGATGAAAACGCTCTTATGACAGCAGCTCTTGTCACTCGGAACGATTAGGTTGCACGGGTGAAAGATCTATGCTTCCGATGACGAAGTCGTAGGCTGACGCGTCATCCCAGCCTCCGCTTCTACGCTGCTGTCAGCGCAAATTCAAAAGAACGGATCTTGAGGCGACGAAGAGGCGGACATACTTCTGTGGACGATCATCTGGGAAGGAGTGTTCGGAGACGGGATGCCGAAAGGCGCGACTGCCAGTTGACCGTCGACGCGAAGTCGGGTTGAAGTTCGAGCCATCGGCGAAGTCATTGAGACACGTATGCCGGATGGCACATCGTAGGGTGGTTGTACTTGAACCGTCGACATTTGTGCCGCATCCAGTGACCCCGTTAACCCTCTTGTTTACTCGGCTATCCAGTAACACCTCGCACGGCGTGCTGACAACTTCACAGTTATCTCAGGCATACCCTTCGACTTGTGAGTTCTCTATTCGACGATGAGTATCAGCTGCCACTCACCTCCACGGCACGGGATCGCCTTCATCTCCGTCATTCAGCAGTGTAGACTCTTGGTCTGAGAAGGTCATGAGCTTTATCGCGCATGTCGATGAGTTGATGGAAGCGGCATTCGTCCATCGATGGAGAAGCATTTTGGGAGCGAAAGAACCCCGCTCGCGGTCGCCTAGTCCAGACGGTATCGCCGTGTTGTCGGGCGAACTAACCTGAGCATCATCTCGTCTTCGGTTCAAGATCGCACACAGCAAAGTCGCATCTGCGAACTACGCTCACACATGAGTCATGTCAGTATCGCATCCTCATACAAAATGTGGATATGGGAAACTCACCACCCTCCGTCGAGTAGTTCCGCGACGCATACAATGAGCTTTGCTATCCACGTCTCGCTTTCTCAACCACCCGTGATCGACTTCAAATACGAGGTAAGCCCCGCTCATCTCATGGAAGACCCGAGATTGACGATACTCGTGACGTACAGAAACCAGAGGGCGCGGAGGCACCGGACGGTACGGCCAAGATCGAGCGCACCAAGGAGCACGATGATGCCATAGTCAAGGCGATCGTGGCCCGGGCTGACAAGAACACGACGATTTGGGATTCCCTAGGATCGTTGGAAGGGGTGAGCACACCATTGCAGGCTCTATCTCGAGAGAGAGTACTCAACTTCCATTCACAGCATCTCGGTTACTCCGCGGCCCTGTGGCGTGCGTACTACGGGCGGCACTGCGAAGAGTTCGCGACGCAATGTGATGCCCAGCAGACTGGCCAAGTGGATCCCAACACATCCGGGGACGGTAATCCTACTCGGTCTGGACGTGGCCGCAACCGCGGTTCCTCCACGGCATCGACTCAGGTGCGTTCACACAGGGTAAACTCATTCACATAATGTGACAAGACGTCAGGGTACCCTTCTCGAGACGCCTCAGGCTGCGCCATCGGCCAATACTCGCGGCGCTGCACGCAGGACTGGGAGGGGAGGTGCGGGCGCCAGTAGACACGCGGCTGTGCCGGCTCGCGGAAAGCAGACAACTGCCAAGAGATCTAAAACGACGGAGGATGAGCGAGACTTGATGCTGCAGTGGGTGAATGTCCACGGGTCGACTGCGAGAGGTTGGGAATTGTTTGCGGAGCGGGTGAGTGCTTCGCGTCTTGTTGGTGTCATGCTTCATGATAGCACACTGATCGCTGTATCTTGCAGTACGGCGGTACTCCAAACGGTACTGCCTGGCGCAGCAGATACGACCGCTTGAGGACGAAGATGAAGAGTACGTTGTAACCGACTTTATTCGCGCATGTATGGCTGACATCTGAGCAATTGTCGTTAGTGGAGGAGCTGGAGGCGCGTCACAAGTAGTCGTGGTAGTTGAATTCCCCAATATCACCGCGGTAGTCACAATGTCAAAAGCATTTCGCGTTATTGTAGCTGTTCATAAGACATGTCATTGTGGTTGGTTCTTCACATGCAATATAGAGACAGAACGCATCGCGCCCCAGTCGCTCGTTGAGCAATGGCGCGCGGCAGCGGGGATGGTAGTCCGAAAGAAACCCGCGCCTCTTGCGCGACTCGCCCCGCCACTCTTCCCACACCGCCAACCGTACAGACGCGGTCGCGACTCACCCATTACTCTTCGCTCATCGTCTACGTACGCGCGCGCATCCACATGCGCAAGCGGAGTTCAAGGTCCAACACCGAGTAGCCCGGCGGAGAGAGGGGGCCGAGATGCCCGAGGGCGTAACCGTCGCTACCCGTAGCAGATCTGTCAACTTCCAAGTTCCGCAAACCGAATACACTCTACATTCTATATCACCACTCACGGCTCCCGATAGTGTTTGACAGAATCGAGTACAGCACCTATCGAATGAGTACACCTGTCATCGACAAGCGAGTCAGTCTCGTTTTCCCAATGGAGCAGTCAACCTACCCTACCCCGCTTGAACCTAACAAAGGCGCGCCTGGGCGCGCGCAACAAGCGCCCGAACCGTGAACGCGAACCAGTTCACGTCGCCCACCTTCTCCCGAGCGCGAGCGCCAGGCCGTCGCACTGCAAATCCCCTTCCCGCCTGTCAGGACGTCAATGTCGTACGCCGCAGGCTCGATATGGACCAAGGTCACTTCGATACCCCGGTACGGCGTACTCAACGCCTGTCGCCCGAGGGATACATCGGTACAGCGGCACGCTTGAAGTCTGAGTCTGTCTGTCAGACGTCGGCGTCTGTCAACCGGAGCGCTCGAGGGTTCGCAACAGTAGCGAACACGGTCGCATAAGCGCTACACGTCTAAGCTCCTCATGTTCACACTGTCAAGTACAAGAGACTGTTTGTTATATAGTCAACTACGCGTATAAAACATCACAGACGAGTAAAGTTGCAAGGAAGGGTCCAGCGGATCCCGAAAATATAGGGATGACAACGCGCGACGGCCTGCAAGTGGTAACCGGATAAAGCAACAAGAGCTAAGCAGAGATTCAGACGTCTAAAAGAGAGTGGGTCGGGTGGGTTAAGTACGATATAGTAAGGTCAGCGGACGAGGGCCGGGCGTGTCTAGTGAGCTTCGACAAGTGCGCGATGATTCGTGTGTGGTTGGGACAGCGCGTGTGGTACAGAGCGGGCAGAGGACAGAGCAGGTATACTGATATAATGACTGGTTGACGGTGGGATCATGGATGCGAGCGCTGGTCCGTTTTCGAGCGGAGAGGACAAGGAGGATCATAGACCGGGTCTCTGCGGGGAGAAGGAAGAGGATGGGGTATACAAACTACACACAACGACCGAGCACACAGAGCATGAAAGGGCGCAGAGGGAAGAACCGGGCTATGAGTGATACACGATGCGACTAGCAGAGCTTCCACATCTTGACGCTCTTGACGCGCATCGCGCGGTCGTCCTCGCTGCTCGGCCACGTCGCGCTCCAAGTCGCCTGCTTCTGCGTGAAATCGCGAATGGCAGTGCTGCTCCCATCGAGCCACGGCTTATCGCCGACGCCGTCCGGGAACCAACCGCTCGTCCCGCCAGCCGCGACGTTCAAGATAAGATAGAACTCCTGATCGAACGGCGCTGCCGCACTGCCCTTCGAGTACGGGTTCTCAACGACGACCTGGCTCGAGCCGTTCTGGGTGACCTGCGGGAAGTCGCCGCGCTCCCAGAAGGACTTGCCGCCCGAACCGGTAGTCTTGAAGTCGATCATGGCTTTCAGGCGCGAGTCGACGTACGCCTTCATGAAGTCGCCGGTCCATTCGAGGGTGTAGGTGTGGAAGTCCTGGGCGTAGGTGTTGCGCTTCATTGACTGCCAGCCGTATCCGCGCTTAGTGAGGGATTCCATGGGGCCCCACGTCAGAGAAGAGCGAACGTAGTTGGCGCCTTGGGCGCCGTAGGACAGACCATTACCGCGGGCTTCCATAATCTGACAGAAGAAGGGCGTATCAGCATCAAGATCGGGGTTTGACGGGCAGACAAGAGATAAGGAGGGTAAGAAGGGAAAGAAGGGAAGGGCGCGAAGCTGAAGGGGGAATAGAAGAGAAGATCGGACGTACGTCAATTTCGCCAGATACGGGCCACTCGCCGTACGGGCTGTTCTTGGGCAGCATCCAGATCGCCGGCCAGAGCCAGTCGCCGGAGGGAAGCTTCGCGATGACTTCGACCTTGCCGTACTTGATGGCGCCGTTGGTGTAGTTCTGGGTCGAGATGCGGGCGCTCATGACGGGCGGGATCGTCGTGCCGGATGAGTTTGAAGACGAAACGGTACAGTTGACTTCCGATGCCGCGGTACAGCCGTCGAGGGAGTACTTGGAGCCGTCGAAGAGGCCGCTGTACGAGATACCACCAGTTGCAGTCGTGAGCGTAGGCATGATGTAGAGCTCGTTGTTCTTGATGAACAAGTTCTTGTCGCTGTTCGTCGTCATCTCGAACTCGTTGTTCCTGTACGTATCAAAGTAAGTCTAAAGATATTCGTTATCCGGGAATGGAAGAGAAGACTGACCCGAAGCCACCAAGCGCTACGTCGCGCGTCCACTTCGAGCCGGAGCTGTCAATGTCGAGCGAACTGAACTGATCGCTAAAGACGCTGCAAAGCTCGCTGTCCGGGATCATCTCGCTTCCACCGTCGACCCAACCACGCCACGAGAGCGCGGCGGCGCCACCAATACCCAAGATGAACATGAAGAGGGTGACCCAGTAAGATGCCCGCGAACGCGTGTCCTTCTCCTTCATCCACGGCTTGTCCTCCTTGCTGAGCTTCTCCGCGAGAAGCGTACTAGGAAGCGGCGGTTTCGGGCCGGGCAGCGGCGTGCTGGCGCCCGTGCCGCCCAGACCAGGCGTGCCGGGCAGCGCAGGATTGGACAAGTAAGACGGAGGCGTCCATGCGACGCTGGCAGGGCGCGAGGCGGGCGACAAGAAAGGCGCGCGGAATGAAGTGGTGCTCCCACGTGGGCTCATGTCGCCCATACCGATTCCATTGCTCGAGCCAGAGTTCCTGTAGACTGCATTCCCGCCGCGCTCCGCCATGAAGGGCGCGTACGGGCGCTCTAGACCATACTGGTCAGGTTCCCACGCAGAACCCTCGACGCTGGTTTGGCCGCGGGAACTGTCGAAGGAAGCGCGGCGGGAGCGCATCCCTGTCGGGAGCGGATCGGGGTTTCCCGCATGCGCCTGGAAAGGAAAGGCGCTGGGAGGCGCGCCACGGCCGAGGGAGGTCCTGCTCGAGGCCGACATCAATGGGTGCGACGGTGAGGCGGCGCTCATCGGCGGGCTAAGCGGGCCGTCGTCGAATTGGGGCATAGGAATACTCGTTGCGCTTCGCAGGGTAGCGCTCGGGCTCAGCTGGCCAGCGCCGTCTGCAAAGGGTCCCTCGGCACCCTCGGCGTTGGCGACAGAGGCGTAGCCGCCGGCATGCGGGGCCGTTGCCGAGCGGGCGCGGCCGTGGCGGGAGGCGCGTTGTTGGGGCACTGGCGGCGGCGGCGGGCTCTCGTCTTCGCTCTGAGGCTCCGAGGAGGTGCCGGAGTACCAGGAGCCGTCGCGGCCGGCGAGGAAGGCGGGCCTGGGAGGAGCGAAACCCGAGTTGGGGGAGGTGCCCTCGTCGTCGGACGTCATCGATTGACGGCGGGAGGACGAGGTCGGGCGGGAGTAGCGCCTTGCCTGGCTGTAGGACATGGCGACGACAGGACAGCAGGCAGAACAGACGGCAACAGAGGTGCGTGGACTTGAGAGATTTATGAAGCGTTATCAAACATATATAAAATAGTCCGTTCGCCCTCGCACACCACCCCTGCCGTTCGGTTCGCTCGGTGACGCACCGCATCCGCGCATACTCAAGGCACCGCGCACACGCACATGAAATAATTGTTGACTGTATAACCTCCGCGGCAACCGTGTACCACGCCCACAGCACGCACCACTCCAGAAGTATCCCCAGGTCACAGCCAGTACAATACAAAGCTCCTCTCTTAGACCCGCACAGAGAAGCAGAACACCAGTTCGGAGTAGACACAGCAGTTCGGTTCTTCTTTTTTCGATGGCTCGGATCCAGAACAAGCAACGTCCCCAAATTCGAATACGGACCGCGCACAGTGGATGCGATAACGAACCGTCGTCGTGGAACATCGCCGCGCGTCTCGGCCCCGGAACTCACCGATCGCCATCAATCTCTGCACACACGGCACCGAGATGCAGACGGCCGCGGCCACGACGCTCGCAGCGCCCGTTTGATGCGCTTCCACGTCGGTCAAACGCCGCAACTGCCACTGTCAGCCACACGCCGCAACACGCTGTCTCTGCTTCTTTTCCTGTGCAGCCAAGGAGCTTGTACATGTTTTCTTCACTCACACCGAGCGGAAGTACTGGCGGGCCGCTGCGCATTTACGCGTCCCGACGCTCGGGGTACGGGACCTGAAGCTCCCCATTACTTTGCCTTTCGAATCCTCGGCCTGGATCCAGGTTTTCCGTAGTCGCGGGCACGTCGGCATGCTCGCTGCGGACGGATATACGACATGTAGAAGGAAAATGACAAGATCATTCGAAAGAGGACGCATTTCGCGACCGTATAACGTGTACTATTCACTACCCGGCGTTTCGGGTGGTCCTGTCAGTGAGTTGTTGTACGTGGTACATGATATCCGTAAGCTGATACGACGATCCATAGCCCAAACCAGAAAGAGCGACTAGCTCACACTAAACGTTAAACGAGACACGTCGGCCGGGCAATAGCCTATACTTTGCTTGACAGCTGCCTCCGCCTCTCGACCCGCCCTGCGCAATTGAAAATATATTTCTTTCGAACCGATCCGCCCTCGTCGTCGTACACCGAACGTCACTCGACTCGTCGTCCTCGGCCGGCGGCACGACGGAAATATGGACCCCTCATCCCATCACGAAACCATCGAACGCACGGGCGTCAGATAAGCTTTTTCGGAGGCCCGCCCCTGCTTTGTTCGTCGATTGGTTCGTTTCCAGGTCGCGAGATCTCGCCGGTTGCGCGCGCGCTCACATCTCTGCGATCTGGAATTCATAATTAGCTCTCTTTGGACGCCGACGTCACCTCTGACGACGTCACTCGCGCGGCCGTGGCGTTCGGTCGCTATGGCTGCGCGCCCGCCCTCGCGCGGACGGCGTGGCCGACAGCTCCGTTGTCGATCCCTTCTTGTCTTGTCTTGCAAAAGATATATTCAAGCGAAAGATGGGTCGTACGAGTCCGGAAGGCGCATGGTGGTGTAAGCTGTTCAGCCGAAATGTACAGCTTGGAGAAGCTTTGGGATGCGTGTGCGCGGATTCGTGGAAAGGAAGTCCATCCCTTGAAAGGTCCCGAAGGGCCGCTCGCGGACATCGTTCTACTTCAAGATTTTATATTGATGGCCAGGCACATGCCCACACACGCACACTCGATCTGAGCGAGTCGAACCGCCCTGCGTACCGAGGCGAACCAGAGGAAAGATAAATATCGCAGAGCGCACTCCTCCGTCCGGTTCTCGCTCCGTCCGCCAGTTTAGCCTTCCCTCCTCCCCGTCCTCCTCCTCCTTCCTCCTACTCGCGCTCGCGTCTGAGCATCTTCCGTCTCTCTTATCTCCGACCCCGACACACAAGGAGGACTTAAAGGGAAGAAAGAAAGCCGCGATGGACTACGACCGCTACGACGCGCTTCTGCACTACATCTTCAAGCAGACGCAGGGCGACGCCTGGTTCAGGCCCGACGCGCGTGACATTGCCGCCGGCGTCTGCCTGCGCGACGATGCGGGCGAGTACCGCGTCTTCCCGTATGAGACGCTCGCCCTCGAGCCGTTCGAGGTCGCCGTGAGGGCCATGGGCCTCATGTGCGCCGTCAAGGTCCGAAGCGCCGTGGCGCACGCCGCCGTATCGCAAGTGTGAGTCTTGTCCTTATTCGTCCACCTTCTATTCCTGGTTATCTCTCGCTTCTTTCGCTGGCATATCTGGGGCGGAGAGATGAAGTTTCTATTCGCTGCGCTTGTTCGCCTTCAAGTCAATTTGCGCTTCCGGGCTTTTCTAGTTGGATTTCCGGGCCGCCCACATTGGGACTTTGCGTCCGCTTCGTTTATGTGCTGCTGAGGCGAGGGGGACGCGAGCACGGCGCTCGAGGCGCGCATACATGCCCGAATTCGCAATGCGCGATAAGGGTGTGAAAGTCGTCGAAGTCCTTTGATCGCGATCCGCGAGGCAGCTTCCGTTCCAGCACGTCGCGGCCTGACTGCGTGCCCTCTACGCCTGACAGCCCTTCTTCGTTCTCGCTCTGCGTTTACTTGAAGGGCTTCGGCAATAAACCGTGGGTTGTATGAAAAGGGTGGGATAACCGGATGGAACGGGTGGATTCGCATCGGTCTTCGTCTGCTTCGGAGGCTCTTCGCGCTTTCGCGGGCAGTCCTGGGCGTGTCTCCATTTCCCGATAGACGCGAAGCTTTTCCGTGGAAAGATGGGGCGTCGCGTGTTTGCTTCTACCGCATACAAGCTCGAGGCGCGAGTCTCATTGGCTTCACCGACGAACAATGCCCACGCCGGGACTTGCCGGCAGCCAGAAGCGCCCACAGCCACGCGCTCCGCCCGTCCACAACCGACTCCGGCGTCGCAGTCTGCAGACTGAATACGCGTTCTTCCCTGAATTTGCTCCTTTCGTCCCATCTATAACTTTACCCTTCACTACGCCTCACACGCCTCGCGATCAGTACGCTTACTTTGATTTTCCCGATGCAGAGGACCCGAGGACAAGTCCGTCTACGTGGACGCCAACACGCGCATTCAGATCATCGATACGATGATGCTGTTGCCGCACGCAGACCGCGAGCAGAACGCGGCGTTCATCCGCGACGAGCGCGTACTGGTCGTCTGGACAGAAGATCCGGCGAACATCGTTCAAACGGTGAACGACTTCGAGGAGCGGCTCATCCGTCTTCTTTGGCGCTCAACAAATCGCCCCGGTATCTCCTCTTTATCGTCAAAGTCCGGACACGGCGGCCTGTACCCCGACAGTGCAAGTGGACACCATAGCGTTATCGGTAGCTCTGCTAGCGGGCACGGCTTCGCGAGCCCGAGGATTATCGGGCGCGACGAGCCGTTTACGCCTGGTGATGTCGAAAAGGGGCTTGCGCCCACGACTAAGACTGTCACTAAGCGTACCTGGTACGGCGGGAAGAAGACCGTCACGGTCGAGGTTCCCATCGGCGAGAGCGCCGAGGATGTTGGCGCTATTGATCCCAGCAAGCGTCCCGCGTTGCTGTATGCGCCGATATACAACGGTATTGCTGCCGCATTGTCGATGGGTATGTGCCTTTCTGCTTTCGTGTGGGTGTGCGTTGGTTGCTGATATCTGGGTACAGTCTACGTCGGCAACGGTCTCAAGATCTTGTTGACCGAATGGAGGCAAGATGGCGATTACACTCATTTCGCGCTCGCTGCTGTGCTTCCATTACTGTTCTGCGTCTCCCTGGTGCGTTCTTTCTTGTTTAGTCCCTGTATGCGAGCGGTTTGACTGACTTGTCGACGCGTACAGTTCTTCAACTTGCAGATCGTTCAGAACGTTACCATGGCTATCGGCCCCATCGCTCATTACCACGAAAACTCTAAGTACTACTCTGCCGTCAAGCCCCACCCGAACAAGGAGGTCGACGCCAACTTGCCGCACGTCACTATCGTCATGCCGGTTTACAAGGAGGGTCTCGACTCTGTGCTGTGCGTATCTCAACATTTGTCCCTGTCAACGAACAGCTGTCCTGATGTTCGGTTGTGATCAAACAGTATGCCGTCGGTCGTCTCGCTCAAGAAGGCCATGCAGACGTACGCGCGCCAGGGCGGTACCTCGAACATCTTCATCAATGACGACGGTATGCGCCTACTCAATGACGAGGACCGCGCGATGCGCCTTGCGTTTTATGAGACGCACGGTATCGGTTGGGTCGCTCGTCCCAAGCACGGCGAGGAGTCTGAGCTGTCGGATGGCGTCAAGTACGAGCGTGCTGGCCGTTTCAAGAAGGCATCGAACATGGTACGCGCGTCTCTTTGTACGAACGTTGATGATGGTCGCTAATCAAGCACGTACAGAACTACGCCCTCCAGCTCTCCCGCAAGATGGAGAAGCACCTGCTCATGCTCCAGGACCAGCAGATCAACTCTCAGCGCACCAGCTCCGGCTCATCAAACCCGGAAGAACAGCAGATCCCGCTCGAGGACCGCGCTCTCGAGGCCGCCGTACAAGAGGTCTACGAGGACAGCGGCCGTCGCTGGAAGCCCTGGGCGCACAATGGACGCTCGTGCCGTGTGGGCGAGATCGTTCTCATCGTCGACTCCGACACTATCGTTCCCGAGGACTGCTTCCGTGATGCCGCCCGCGAGATGGCCGAGTGCCCTACCGTCGCCGTCATCCAGCACGAGTCGGACGTCATGCAGGTCGCCAACCACTACTTCGAGAACGGCATTGCGTACTTCACTCGCCGCATCAACAGGTCCATCTCGTTCTCCTGCGCCAACGGCGAGGTCGCGCCTTTCGTCGGTCACAACGCCTTCATGCGCTGGCAGGCCGTGCAAGACGCCGCGTTCATCGACACGGACGGCATCGAGAAGATCTGGTCCGAGAAACACGTGTCTGAGGACTTCGACATGGCGCTTCGTTTGCAGCTTCGCGGGTACATCATCCGTTGGGCGACGTACTCGGAGGGCCAGTTCAAGGAGGGCGTGTCGCTGACGGTCGACGACGAGCTCAACCGCTGGCAAAAGTACTCGTATGGTTGCTCGGAGCTGCTGTTCAACCCGCTCATCCAGTGGTTCCGCCGTGGTCCCATCGCCGGTCAGATTCACAAGTTCCTCTGGTCGAACGCGCCGCTGCACTACAAGATCTCCATGATGGCTTGTATGTCGTCATACTCTTTACTCTCGATTGCATCTCTCTGACGCGCTCCCAACAGACATGTTCTCGTACTACGGTATCGCGGCGTCAGTGACTATTGGTGTCATCAACTACGTCTTGCTTGGATTTGAGTTCTCCGTGGACAACTTCTACATGCACTCATTCGAGATCTGGCTCGCCACCACCGTCGTCTTCTTCGGTTCGGGCAACGTCGGCTTCACCATCCTGGAGTACCGTCTCGGCGCGAAGAGCTTGTTGCACGGCTTCCTCATCAACTTGATGTGGATCCCCTTCTTGTGCGTCATTCCATCGCCATTTTTACTGCGACTGGCTCAAAGCTGACCCCGCTCCCTTACAGCTTCTTCTTCTTCGGCGGTCTCGCGATCCCGCTTTCGCAGTCGATCCTCGCGCATCTGTTCAGCTACAACATGACGTGGGGCGCGACGAAGAAGGAGGTCGAGCGGTCAAACTTCTTCAAGGAGGTGCCCAAGATCTTCAAGCGCTTCTGGTTCCCGCTCCTCGTGTCCATCGTCATCCTCGCCGGCATGGTCATCTGCGCAACGCCGCTCGTACCGCTCGGCTGGCGCGTCGACGGCTCGGCATGGGCCGTCATCTTCCCGCTCGCGATCGTCATCGGGTGCCACATCCTCTTCCCGATCGTGCTCAACCCGTGGTTGATGATCTTCTCGTACTGAGCGAACGCTTCCCGTTCTCCTCAGAACCATTCTGTTGTTGTCTCTCATAGCATCTCCGGACACTATTTACAGTTCCCCCGGACCCTTCTCTCATCTCGAATCGACGCTATCACATCCCCCCTGCCTGCTCGTCTCTCCTCGTCTGCTCTTGTCGCTGTACTCCACCTTTGTTTGTACGCTATGCTCTTACACAAAACCCACACGCTCGCTTATAGACCTGTCCTCCCCCGTACACTGTCCGTCTCGATCTCAGTTCTGCTGTTCTTCGGACTATACCATCTCACGATACCCCCGGCCAAACCTCTCACTCGTACGCCCTTTACTTTCCCTGCCGTTAGTAACATCCCCATTGTCGGCACAGCTACTCCCCCACCCACCATCGAGCCTCATATACGCCGGGCACGCACATACACATTTACATCTCCTCCTCACCTCTTTGTACAGGGTTCTCTCAGTCCAATTGCATCACCCAGATCTCATACCTGGCTTGTTTCGGTTGTTGTCTGCTTTCTCTCCTCCTCCCCGCGCTCGGACGATGCGTGTCGTGTAGTAGTACCATTCCCCGCTTCGCTACATAGACGACCTGCGCATACGCGGTGTCCACCTCCCCTGTACATAGCCAGTAGTGTGCGTGTTACGTACGTATTTGAGCAATGGTTCTCGGTACATTCTTTGTCGCGTGTGGGATCGGCTGAGTGTAATGGCGCTGGCGGACTCGGAGGGAGGGAGCGGTGCAAAGTGCCAGAGCTGTAGCCTGTCGCTTCCCCGCATCATCGGTAGCAAAAGCATCTCACTGTGATGCATACCGTCGCGGCCGTTGGAAGAACTCTCTTGGAGAGTTGGGCGGCTCGGAAGTCCGGGCCGAATTGGGTTCACCGTCCCCCGCCAACGGGCTCGTAACTCTTGGACCGCCATCATGTCAAATCGCACTGTAGCTATGAACTATTCGATATCAACATGGCACAAACATACGCGCTACTGACTGCGCTACGATTGCAAGCTCGAGAAACCGATAGTCCTTGTAGGTGCGCGAGATGTCTACGTTAGGCGACCAAGTGTTGCGCTCGCCGCGCCATATGTCATCCAGCAACATGCGCGTCGACATGACGACCAAGACATTCATCTCTCACATGGAATAAGCATATGTTAAACTCTTGACGGGCCAGAGCAAGGCCAGAATGTAGCTCCGACTCTCTGTGGCTACGGATGAAACGCCAGATTCCGAAACATGCATGCATACCGGAGAGTCGGTGGCTCTCAGGTCGACCGGATATATACCCACGACGCTTCCAGACTCAGAGCTCGTTGACCACCGCATCCTCTGACATGCGACTTCTCTGCCGACCTGGTCCGAGCATCCCCGTATTCGACAGTTGAAGGTTCCCGCAACGGTCACAGTGTTCGTGAAGGTGCGTCCTTCACTGCGAGCTTCGGTCATGACCACTAATCCATCTCCAGGTCATGGCTTTCCTGGTGGGGTCTGCTTGTGCTGTCGGCGATGGTCTCGATGTCGCGAGCGTTGGTGGGACTGTGCTGGACGAGGGAGATGGACGGGCGGATCTCTACGGGGTCTAAGAGGTACGCATCTATATCTTTTACTACACCCCCATATGTCAGAATAGCCCTCATGTATCCTTCCCAGCGCTTCTTGTATCCTCCATGTTAAGTGCCAGGGCCGAACCTCGCTAGAGCCTGTTTTGAAAGTGTACGTTTCTTCGTACTTCTCCTTCAGGGCCGTGATTACTGAAGTCGCCTGCACAGGTCCCTTTCAAACGCTTAAACTTGAAGGACCCGACGCGAACGATCGCACAGTGTATAGTTGATTCTTGCGGACTGGCCTGAACATTGGATGCTCTTGTCTTCTCCGGCCTCATACCTGCCGTCTCGTATCACACAGCTTGCTCGTTAGCCTCTCACTCATTCTGCTTTCCCTACACGCACTCCTTCTATCGCACCGCGCAGACCCGCCGCTCTTAACAGAACGTCCGCTTTCCAGAAGCCCGCCCTCAGTGTTTGTGTACGACTGTTATTGAGCGCCGGGTTGCGCACGGGCACATCCTTCGTCATGCGTTCACATCATGCAATACGGTCGACAGCATCTTCCAGAACCCCGCCGTCCGCGTTGATGCGACCGTATTTGTGTCTGTGATGCGCGTGGGCGAATCTGTCTCGTCTTCCATCATCGTCATACTACTCTACACCTGTCTTCACGCACCGCTTGACTCGTCGCTCTCAACAGAACGTCCGCCTTCCTGAAGCCCGCACTCCGTGTTGGTGTCCGACTGTTGTTGAGCGTCGAGTCCTGCATGGGCCCATCCCGTGCCATCCACTCACAGTTCACAGTACGGTCCACGGCACCTTCCTGAACCCAGCCGTCCGTGTTGGTGCCACCGTGCTCGTGCTCGCGATTAGGATGGGCGGGATACCTTCTTGTTCACTGTACATCATCTCGTCCATTACCTCTCCATCACTTGCGGCGCCATCTACCCTATATTATCTACGCCATCATTTTATTGATCACACACATCTCCGCTCCTATCAGACGGTTATCTTCACGTTACTACTTCCTTCTGTATTGAACTTCGCAACAATGTCTCCTGCATACACCACCTTGACTGGCCTATGCAGCGCCTTGGATCCTTTCATTGTCAAGAAAGCTTCCCTGAGTCTGCCGCTTTTCCATGTAAGATCCACAATAATCCCTCCTCGTATGTGTGCGCCTTTGACCGCACCGTCGGGCCACTTCGTCATAGGTAAGGCAGGAAGGAGGGTGACGATAAGCGGCTCGTCGAGAGTAGCGGTGTCCGGAGCTTGTACCAGTGCGTTCTACATAGTAGCCGTGAACGATGAGTGTGTGCTCTCTCAAGTCTATAAGGAGAAGTACGAACGAGGAGCGCGGCCGGATACCCCAAATTGGCGTCGATCTGAAACGGCGGACTGTTTTGCGCATACATGCTAAACAGATTCGGCGCATAGTTTCGCTCGATGGCGTACTGGAGCCGTCTTCGGCTTTAACGATACATGAGATGGCTTGGGATCGCACGCACGGAGAGCTCGTGATAGAACGCATCCGCGTCCCGAAGCTGGGCCCAGCACGCCGCGCGCCACACCTTCTCCCAGCCAGAGTCGGCGTCGGGGCCGGTACCGTTCCCTCGATGCTGCAAACTGACTCTCGCCGCTGAAAGAACTTGCTCGGTCGTGTAGTCTTCGCGAGTACCAGACGGAGCAAAAGTGTGCTGGGACGTGTTACTATAGGATGCGAGCGCGTAGCCCGGGTAAAGCCCGACAAGATGTGATAGATGTCGGTGTGTATTATCTGGTTTGTCCATCTCGAACTTCCACTCTGAGGCGAATTGGTCAGGGGAGCAATGCTCGAGGTAAGCCGCGGTCCTGACCTTGTAGTTGACCCCAGGATCCAATATGTACGCCCGAATCTATGCGCGTCAGTCCATCACGAACGTCTACACGGCGCTTAGTTACACCGTACGGCCACAAAGTGTCACCATACCTGCAATGAATGCAACATCATCGTCTCCGGCAACTTTGTAGCACTTCTCTGCCGCATTCAAGAGCTGCCAGATCAACTGTTGCGCATGAGCGCAGCCTGCCATCTATGGTGAGTTGAGGTCCAGATATACTCAACATGATAGCTTACCAAACGTGATCGGCGCTTGCTCCGGCGAGTTGCATGGCGCAACTACCATTGTCGAGTCATTGAAGTGCACGTCCTCCACGAGCTTGGCGATCTGAAACTGTGCGACGCCTTTGAGCAGGGGCCACCCTTGGCTCTTCCACCATGCAACATCGTGAGTGTAGTCGAAGTGGTCCCAAACATGGATCATCTGGTCTGCGTCAAGGATCGGTCCCACGAAAGAACATATATGGAGCGGCATACCATCCAAGCTGCGGCTTCTGGGTAGTTTGCCCATTCGTCGCCATCTTCGCCGAGTTGCATTCCGGTGCTGCCAAATAACTACTCACAGGTTCAAAGTCGCCCGAAGCTCTGTACAATATCCAAACGTACTTACGTTCACCTAGGGCCGCCTCGGTCCGCGGGCAATGATGTTGAGACTCAAGGGATACTCACCGCGTTATGAGTAACCCATCCATGAGAGATGTTGTAAAGGATGTTCGCCGTCGCTGTGCCGCGGGGAACCCACGTCTTCTACGTTTCGTTCCATCAGCAACCCAGGCATCGAAGCACGCCCTAGGTGCCCACTTCCATGCAGTCCCACAAAGACTGGGTGAGCTCAGACATGCCAGTCATATCCGCGAACCAGTAGTTCATCTGCAAGTTGATGTTTGCGACGTAGTCTGCGAATCGTATGATATCAACGCTCAGCCGCTCGACTCGAGCTCGTGAGATGTACGAACCACCGCTCCAAGCGTTCGTGTAATCGCTTGCCCACTTCCCTTGCAGGTTAGCCGGTAGTGACCCCCGTGCACTCGAAGCGAGTAAGTAGCGGCCGTAGTTGAACAGGACCCATTCCAGGTACGGGTTGCCAACGTCGGTTTCGTATTCAGCGTAGAGTTCGTCTGTGGGAGTCGAGGGATCTGGGACTTGTCCGAGATCAAGAATGAAGCCAGATACTACGTGGTTGTGATCCTCGATGTGGTCCTGGAGGATGGTGGCGTACGTGATTCGCTTGTCCGTGGCCTCCTCGAGCATGGAAACGAGAGAGCTGTGCGGATCTTCGCCGCGAAAAGAGTAGTCGTGTCCAGCTGTACCCGCATTCATTCATGTCGTATTCGGAGTCTCCAGTCCATGTTAGCCATGCTTCATGGCCGCCTCGAACAGTGAGAGTAGCGTTCGCATTGCCGTTGGTGCTAGGAACCGAGCTACAGTATATCTCCCCGCTGTCGGACCGCGCTCTCGCTAAAATCTCGTATAGCATGCCAGCGGGCTCTGACAGGCGCCCTCGCAGCATGAGGGTTGAGTTGTCATAGCAAGTGACGTTTGAGGGAGGCAGAGCTTGCTCTTGCGATATAGATAAGCCATACGCAAGGTAGGCGATCGTGGCCGTGGACTCTGTATGCTCTACGCACGCGTGCAGCGGATGAGAGCAAAATGACGTGCTGGCAAGCTATCAATGTCGAGGTATGCACGAGCTCAGTAGCGTGTACGTACCGGAGAAAGGTAGAGTTTGCTTGTGTCCACTGGGTGCGCACAAGCGCCGCATCCAGGTCGAGCCACCGAGAGTACTGGCTGGAGGCGTTGCTCAACTGGTTTCCCAGCGAGGATATCAGATATCCCGCGCCTGCATAAGAGCCTTCCGAAAGCGTCATTAGACTGTTAATGCTGTCAAGTACGTCGAAACAAACCTCCAAGCGAACTATCAACGCCCATCGTGCTGTCGTACTCTACCTCGATCTCTAGTCAGGGCATCCAACCGCTCCTTGGATATGATGGTGTCACCTTCGATTGTTCCATTATCACTCGCGAACACATCTTGACGACTTCGTCTCACGAAGTCCGCGAGTAGGTCGCGATCCCGTGCGGGCTTATTGTTACCGGTGTAGTTCTGTGCGTAAGATTAGTAACGACACTGACATTCAAGAGCGGTCTGCTTACTGAGTATTCGAAGGGACCGCCAGTCCACAGCGACTCGATGTTGAGCTGCGTATTCTCTTGAGCTGTCCCGCCAGCGAGCATTGCTGCGCTGGTGTTCAGGTTCCCATACGCGAAAGAAACCGTCACACAGACGTACCTCCAGGATACCCGTTCCCAATGGGCAAATATTTTGTTGCCCAATCTTTCGCAGGTTGCAAGTACCACAGTCCATTACCGCTCGCCGGAAAACCAGCTGGAGAGCAGGATGCGAGACCTCATGAGAGTATCGCGGCAGATACTTGCCATACACCCAACTTCATCGGCGACTACCGTGGATCGACGATGGCAGATTCGTATGTGGGCGGAGTTCGAGTATGAGAGCAAGGGTATATAAGACCGACGCAACACCGGGCGACTATGACAGCCGATATTTGACCGGAGTGTGGTAGGCACGAACAAAGCACATAAGTAAGAGGCCGATCTAAGATCTGATGACCAGGTGGGCATCTTCGTCGCGCCGCTTGGATGCAGCGGGCCGACGCGGAGCGAGCACCATAAGTCAGAGCATCCATTCTTTCTCAAGGCGCGCCTCGTTTGAGGGCGATCATTCAGAAACGTCGACGGCGTCATGGATGTTCGGGATCATCACCCAGGCGACGTCGTTGATGTTGGGCGTGTCGGAATTTCCCGGACATATGCAAAACACGGTCACCTGCTTTGATCGGTTGCGCGTGACTATCCAGTCGTACGCGCTCATGAGCGTGAGATGCATGTGTTCGCTTGTCAGAAAGACTGGTAGATACAATCAGAAAGATAGGTTAATCGTCGTAGCTCCATTTGTCGCGAACCTCGCCACAACTCGACCATTATAAACCACCTGCACCGGACGTGGCAGAGTAGAAGGTCCGTCGACGACAACTTTTCCCGTCGTTGGAACACCATTTTTCCACGAGAAGTCTAGCGTCATGCCCCCGCGTAGCCGAGCACCTGAGATGGATCCGTCTGGCCACTTCGACACGGGCAAAGCGGGCAGCAGCGTCACAACAAGGGGTTGATCGAGGTCGGCGGTATCCGGAGCTTGAACTAGAGCATTCTGAGGATCGAATAGTTCAGCGTGTATATCTCACTAGGACATCATGTGACTCACAAGGAGCGCTGCGGGGTAGCCGAGGTTGGCGTCAATTTGGAAAGGTGGGTTGCCTGGAGAGTACTGGCTGAAGAAGTTGCCCGCGTAGTTACGCTCTATGGCATACTGAAGAACAACTCAGTAGATATAACAGCAGCATGTGTGAGTGCTCGCACAGATAACTCGAAGTAGAACTTGTCCGCGTTCCTCAGTTGAGCCCAGCAGGCTGCACGCCACACCTTCTCCCATCCCGAGTCAGCGTCGGGACCAGTGCCATTGCCGCGGTGTATGAGTGTGGTAGTAATGGCGTCAATAACTGCCTCGCTGGTGTAGTTGGCAAGAACGCCAGAAGGCAAGTAGGATGGTTGCAAGCTGACGTTGTAAGAAGCAAGTGCGTAGCCTGGGTAGAGACCAATGAGGTGCGAAAGGTGACGATGGGTGTCGTTCGGTTTGTCCATGTCAAACTTCCACTCTGGCTTCTGTCAGCAACTCGAGTATCAAGAAAGAACGGAAATGCAGACCCTGGAACTGTCCCCAGTTACCGATGTGAATACCTCTATCCATCGCATCTCGTTTTGTTCGCACCTCTGACAACAATCGTGAGTTCAATGAGTGAACTGGATCGTAAAGAGAATACGGACCGTTGATAAAGGCCGTGTCATCGTCGCCGGAAGATGCAAAGCCTTTGTCCGCCGCGTTGAGAAGCTGCCAAATTAGCTGCTGGCCATGTGCGCAACCTATTTCATATGAGAAAGGTTGTAGTGTGCTCGAAGAAGAAGCGGAATTGCGCACCGAATGTTATGGGTGCCTGCTCTGGAGAATTGCAGGGTGCTACGACGAGCGTGGAATCGTTGAAGTGCTGGTCGGCGATCAACTTTGTGAGATGGAACTGCGCCACCCCCTTCAGTAACGGCCATCCCTGCTTCTGCCACCATGCAACGTCATGGGTGTAATCGAAATGGTCAAATACGTGAATTGCCGCCATCCAAGCGTTCGACTCGGGATAGTTGGCCCACTGGTCACCTTGGGCCGACAACTTCATGCCTGTGCTACCGAAGATCTTCGGAGAATATGAGCTTTATCCTTGAGGTCGCGATTCAATACGTACGTTCATCTACCCTCGGTGAGTTATAACGTCGAACGAATGGAGTTAGCATACACACCTCGTCATGTGTGACCCAGCCTTGCGTAGTATTGTACAGCGCAAGCGCCGTTTCTTGCCCCCTGGGTACCAACGTCTTCTGCAAGGTACGTTCAGCATCAGGCAGATACCTATGCCACAATATCTATACCTCCATATAGTCCCAGAGCGGTTGCGTAACTTCTGGCAAGTTAGTTAGCTCCGCCGCCCAATAGTTCATCTGTGTATTAATGTTCGCGTCTGTTCGAACATGAGAAGCCGCCCAGTGATATGAGTTGGCAACATACGATAGTCTGTCAGACGTCAGAGAGGAGTGCAACTGTGCAGTAGTCTTACGTACCGGCGCTCCACGCATTGCTGATGTATTGGGCCCATTTGCCTTGCAGGTTGGCCGGTAATGCGCCTCTTGAGCTTGAGACAAGCAGGTACCTTCCGAAGTTGAATAGGAGCCATTCGATGTATGGATCACCGGAGTTCACTGCGTAGGCCTTGTACAGATTGTCCGTAGGCGTATCCAAGTCGGGTTTCTGACCAATGTCTAGAGCAAACTTGGTAGTTACGTTCGCATAGTCGGAAATGTGTTGCCGCAAGATCGACTCATACACGGTGTTTGAATCGGTCGCACTCTCGATGAGTGATACCAATGCGTCGTGAGGATCGTCGCCTTTGAAGCTGAATCCGTGTGCCGGATCCCCAGCTTCCATATCGTACTCGGTATCGCCGACCTGTTCCAATGTCGGTTATCAGCCCTTGATTGGTCATAAGGCTAGCGTACCCAAGTGAACCAAGATTCAGATGCACCAGATACTGTGAGCGTAGCGTTCACCGAACCATTGATGCCAGAAATGGCTGCACACGACACGTTTCCGCCGACGACTGTAGCTCGACCGAGGAGTTCATACAACATGCCTGGATCTCCCGCTGTACCACGCAGCTGCAGAGTCGAGCTGTCGAGACAAGTCACATTTGGTGCAGGGAGACCGTCTTCGGCATAAGGAGAGAATGTGTATGTCAATGCTGGAAGTCCGTCTGTCGCGTTGGTATGCTCGATGCAAGCGCGCAAAGGGTTGGAGCAGAACGTTGTCCTGTACGTACAGTGATTAGGTGGTGTACAGAACGAACCATCGTCAACCGGATATCACACACCGAGTGAAAGAAGACCCTGTGCTCTCTTCGTCCCACTGAGTTCGTGTAACTGCGGCATCCAGGTCAAGCCATCGGACGTAGTTATCCACTTTGCTGCTGCTATTCAGCGTCGAGAGCAAATATCCGGCGCCAACATAAGAGCCGTAGTAAGTAAAGTTAGCTCCCATGACGGAGTCGTAATCTGGAACTTCCTGAGTGACCATATCGTACATCGCGATGAGAAGAACATACCGCTGATCGTGCCGTTGGGACTAGCGAAGACAGCCTGCCGACTAATTTGCACGAACTCTGCAAGCTCTTGACGGTCCTTTAAGGGTTTACTTTGCCCGTCGTATCCCTAGCCACCTCAGAATAATACCACCGATAGTCATAAGCGTACATACAGGTTGCTGAAACGGACCACCTGCCCATAGCGATTCAATGTTCAACTGCGTGGTCTCTTGTGCAGTACCACCGGGTAACATAGCTGTACACTGTATTAACGTAGAGGTCAAGTCACACAACATAAAGACGAACCAGCGAGGTAGCCATTGCCTATAGGTAACCAACTTGTCTCCCAAGTAGTGCCAGGCGTCGTGTACCACATCCCATTGCCGGATGCGGGGAAGTCGGGTGGCACGGCACGGGCGCTTCCCAAGACTGATGTGAGCGCTAGCAAGATCAAATGCGCAAGCGCGCAGAGTTTCGATGAGCCTGGCATCTCCTGACGGGGACGAAGAGCAAAGGGGTACCTGGCTTCGCTATCTCCTCTTTATGAAGTGGCGTGCATGGCAACCTTCCACTGAACCACCCGCATGTGCTGTATCCCAGTAGAACCTCGGAGAGCTGATTGAGAAGCAACCCTCCCGAATACATGCTGGATGTAAATAGAGAAGAGCACGCGCAAGGGCGGCTTACGCTTCGACGGCCCGCATCGTACACGTGAGCTATCAGGCGCCGGCGGGGACGAAGCCAACGATGCTTGACACGCTTCCATTGCCGACACACCACCCTTTGACGCTGGGACACCCATCAGCGCGAGTAGAGTTTGGACCCTGGGAAGCGTCACATCTTCGGACCATTACTCGCCACAAGGATAGGCCTCAGAGCAGGGAAAGCGGCTGAGCGTATGCGGCGCGCGGAAGAACGTTGGCCAATTGTTTGGACTGCACAAAGGACAGTATTGACTGACGCATCGCTTGGCACGACGTAATCCGTACCCCTCGATACATGAGAGAAGAATGAGTCTGCAGAGGAAATTCAGAATATGGTGGTCCGGATGCAACACGCCGATGGGGCAGCAGGACACTGACATTGCCAACACGCGTCGGCGATACTCGGCTTTGTTGCTTTCGCGCTCACATGACAAACGCGTCTTCGACTCTTGTTGAAATTACTCAGTGCCGCGGCGATATTGGTAGATACATGAGGACATAATTAAGGGTAGAATTATAGTCAAGCGCAAATCGTCCCCATTTTCGCCGCCTCCGACGCCTCCTGCGCGTCTTGCTCGCGCTGAACCTTATCAATCAAGACCTGTTCCACCCACTCGAACACCTCATGGCCGCCTTTGCCTGGTAGGTAGATCTCGTCCATCCACTCATCATAGGCGTAATTGAGAGCGGTTTGCGTCTCCTCCGACACGGGATCGTAGAAGTCGATGATCGTCGATTCGTTCCACTCGAGCCACATCTCTTCGGGAACCTGGATATCCCACAGGCGCGCGCTCGATCGGTGCGCGAAGATGCATTCGGAGCCAACGTAGACCCTTGCACCGAGTGCCATGCTCCGTAACGTGTCGTTGATGACAGGATGAAGAACCCGTACAGCATCAACCATATCGGCTGATTGCGCGAGTGCTATATGATCTTGCACGACGACCCGGTATAAATCCGGGAGTAGCGTCAACTGCAGCGCTTCCATAGCGAGTTTCCAGTCGCCGCGAAGAACAAGAGTTTGAAGGCCGTCAGCGAGATCGGCGAGGGTAACCAATGCGTGACAGAGGTCTATGGCATCCTCGCCACGGTGCCCGTAGACTAGTACAACGTGCTTGATGCTAGGAGAGACGGCCGAGACTTTGCTGCAGATTGCGCCGTTGTAACGAGAGCGTTCCATTGTAGTAAGCTTGTTGGCCCATTCGAATGTTACGTCAAGAAGCGGCTCAAGAAATTCGGGATTAGAAGTAGGCACGTCCTCGGCGTTACATGGTATCGCTGGGTCGGAGCATGACAGAAGTCGTGTGTAGTCCCGAGACTCGACGTCAAGAAATAATGTGGGAAGAGCGTCCTTGCGATCGGCGAGTAAACATTGAAGAAAGTTCTCGGCCGTTCCTATGGTACGAACGTTGCGCCAACGAATATGCATGCGTGCGTGATGGGAGAGTCGTAGTAGATTGGTGAGGGCCTGGAGCGACGAGGCGCAATCCGACGCAATATCCAGCGCCTTGAGATGCGGGAAGGAAAGGGGGGTCACTGCATTGACATGCCGGGCAGCAATCTTGAGGTCGGTGCGTCTGGACGTCTCGAGAGTCACACTCTGCAGGTGAGGTGCCAATTGAGTGACAATGGTAAGGGCGTTTGCGGTTCCCACGTCCTTGAGGGACAGATGCGTCATGTACGGAGATGCCTCTATTAAAATCCCGCCAAGGAGAGTGCGAGCGTCGAGGTGCATGCAGAGAGCATGTGACGAAGAGCGAGGAAGAATCGTGCAGGCGAACTGCAACGGCCCGAGCATGTTTTCTACAGATATTGAGCTGATCTCAAGTGTAGGAGGTGAAGCGCCATTCGCGTTGATCGGGTTGCGCGCGGCATGTTGGAGAAAAGCCTGAAAGGTCAAAGCGCTGACTTGCGGGGGTAGATCGAACCAGAGTTTGGCGTGTGTGAGCATCGAATGGCGCCATGAGCGACAGACGTGAAGCAGGGTAAGACTCTTCAGTCGCTGTGCTGAGCGATGGACCGTCATAGAAGACGACTGTTCCTCGAGATTGTCATGATGCGCCATCGCAACGCCGTAGAGGACCTCAATGCAGATAGAGGACCAGAATGCTGCGGGCAATCAGCGGGTGGACAAAGTGACGAAATAATGAACATACGAGTGACTTCTGCAGACATGTTACTTGATAGCGAGCGAGAATACAAGTACTATGGTTCGTATGGTTGAGGCTATCAATCATTCCGGGGTATTATGAGCACTCGGTACTACGTGCGTTGAACGGCGCAGCGAGCGCACCTTGAGCCGAGAGCGAAAGAAGGCAAAAACACCCCGGCAACGTTGGAATCACATCCTATCGTATTATACCGGAGACAAGACTTGCGATCCATCCGTTCGTATGCCTTGAAGAAACGTGGTTGAACTTGAGTCGAGTGCGACGACGAGCCAATTCAAGGGCGCCAAACTCAACACCCATACACCTGGTAACTTACTAGATTCCTCAGTCTGCGAGATAACAGGAAATATTTATGAATGACGTACCGTATTGGCGGTGATTGTAGAAGCCGCAGAGTGTCGGCGGGGTCCAACGGCACGATGCGACTGGATGGTGGTATGCATTCCTAGACAACGGGGGCCGCTTGGAAGCCGGAGTGTGTACCACTCATCAGCCGAGAACATGCGACTGCATATTTGAGCCTGAAGTCGTGCAACTAGTCGTAGGTGGTGGTGGTCGTTGGTAACTTGGTTCACCACTCTACCGTGCAGCGGGTAAGCGAAGTCCGGCACTTCGGGCCTCGTTCCGATATAACCTGGAGGCGGTATTAGGCGGTTACAGATGTGCATCTACATATCCGCCCGACGTTGACCGCTACGCGCTACGTATGTCTTCGCCCCACTCAAATTCAAAGAGCATGCCAGCTGTGGCGACAGTAATGATACAGTATGACAATGATTATGATACAAATCGGACGATGTTGAAGTCCGTTTTAGCAGTGCACAAACGGCGACGTTGAATCTTCAACGACCCAAATCCAAGAGCAAACCAAACACGCTCATACGAACCGCCTAATCATCCTCCTCAATGCCAGCGGGGCGCTTGATCTCGCCGGTGACACCCGGCAATGGGAAGCGGCGCGCAAACTCGCGCACCTCACGACGGAGCTCAACAACCTGAGCATGGTTCGTCGCGACGCGCTCAAAGTCCTTCAACAACTTGGAGCCGGCCTCTTTCTGCACCGCAAGCGAGATCTGAACCGTACGGTGCAAGAAGCTCGCGACCTGGCGCACATCGTCCTCCGTCATGTCGCGCGAGGTGAGCGCGGCCGTGCCGAGGCGGATACCACCGGGAACCTGCGCGGACTTGTCGCCCGAGACAGCGTTCTTGTTGATGGTGATACCGAGCAGGTCGCCGATCTTCTCGACCTTGGAGCCGGTGAGACCGATCGGGCGGAGGTCCCAGAGAACGAGGTGGTTGTCGGAACCCTCGGTCTGGAGCTTGTAGCCGTTCTTGACGAGCTCCTCGGCGAGCGCACGAGCGTTCTTGACGACCTGCTGCGCGTAGGTCTTCCATGTCGGCGAGCATGCCTGGTGGAGAGCAGTCGCGATACCAGCGATGGTGTTATTGTGCGGGCCACCCTGGCAAGCCGGGAAGACGGCGTCGTTGACGCGCTTCTCGAGGTCCTTGTGCGCCTCACCGTCCTTGCGGAAGAAGATGAGACCAGCACGGGGACCACGGAGGGTCTTGTGCGTGGTGGTGGTGACAACGTCGCAGTAAGCGAAGGGGTCGGCGAGCTCCTGCGCGGCGACGAGACCGGAGGTGTGTGCAATGTCGGCCATCAAGTACGCGCCGTGCTCGTCGGCGGTCTTGCGGAGAGAAGCATAGTCCCAGTCGCGAGGGTAGGCCGAGGCACCGCAAATGATGAGCCGAGGCTTGAAGATGCGGGCCTGCTTGGACAAGCCCTCGTAGTCGATGAGCTGCGTCGACGGGTCGAGGCTATAGGGCAAGGACTGGAAGTAGATCGAAGAGGCAGTCATCTTCTTCTTCGCGGTCTAGAGAATGGGGATCAGCATGGGTCTTTGGTCCGAAGAAGGCACCTGTCAAGCGCGTGAAAGCCCGAAGAAGCCGACACCGCGAAGGTGTTCGCTGCAGATGGAATCTACAGGCATGCAGAGAACTGTACTCACGTAGTAACCGTGCGTCAAGTGGCCGCCGTCGGGCAGGCCAAGACCCATGAGGCGGTCCTGCGGCTGCAAGAGAGCAGTAAGGGCGGCGAAGCTGCATTCAACTTGTCAGATCATATTCCCTATGCGGTACATGTAATGCTATGAATTACGCACTTCGCCGTAGATCCGGAGTAGGGCTGAACGTTTACGCCCCACTTTGCCGGGTCGAGGTGGAAAGCCTCGAGGGCGCGCTTGCGGCACAGCTGCTCGAGCTCGTCGATCCACTCGTTACCGCCGTAGTAACGCGCGTTGGGCAGACCCTCAGAGTACTTGTTCGTCAAGATCGAGCCGTTGGCCTCCATGACCGCCTTCGAGGTCAAGTTCTGTAGCAATAAAATATTAGGATGCGCAGTTCATTGGGTGCGGAATTGAGCCAACGCACCTCAGAGGCGATGAGCTCGAGACCGGAGTACTGCCGCCATGTCTCCTTGTCGATGATGTTCTGCACCTCGGGGTCGATCTCGCTGAGCGGCGCGTACAGCGCCTTGTTCTACGAAACACAAAGATCACAGTGTCAGTCGACTTCAACTCCCAATCGCGCCTTTACGGCACCCAAGATCGACAACATACGTAGTCGCGAGCAGTGGCGCTGGACATTGTGCGTACCGAAGCGAGAGAAGGGCGAGCGAGTTGGTGGGCGAGACGCAAGGAGCGAAGCATGGTGGAAATCCCAGAAACAGCTGTCAATTTTGCTGGTGCAGAGACAAGGAAAAGCGTGACTCTTGCGATTCGCGCCGATCGGAGGCAGCTCGGGTCTCGGGCTCTCGTCCGTAGCGTATATTAAATGTATTGTGCACGTCGCGCCCCCCGTCGCCGCCTTTTGTACGTCTCGGACATTGTGTGATGGTGCGAGGTGCACGGCTCGGTGACGGGCGGAACCCCGCGCGGTAAAGACGTTTTGATAACGGGAAGAGCGTTTTGAGCGCGCGCGCAGGCAGGAGGCAGACGTAATAAACGACGGGGCAGAGCGCGTATATGATTGAGGGCGGTATATAGAGGTACAGATTGTGTCTTGGGTACTACAGCAGATGGTGGGGTAAGGTACAGATGCGAGTAGCATAGAGAGGTACGATAGCATGGAACATGGAAGAGTGTCAATGGTCGTGGGAGATGATTGCAGAATGGGGATAGGGGCATCCGACGAGAATGGCTCCTGGAAAGCAGACTTGGATAGATAGCATGAGTATGTACCACAGCGAGAGCAGAGACCCAAGAGAAACATGAGAGATGAGATACACCAAAGATACCTATGACTTCCAACCGGCCGGCCCATTGCTGAGCTCGACCCCGATCTTCAACACAACGTCGCGCCCGAGTGGCGCCATAACATCCGCCCAGATCCCTACACGCCGTCTCGCGGCGAAAATGTCCTGAGATCGCTCGCCGACCTCGCCTTCTGGACCGAACACGCACACGCGTTCGGGTGCCCAAGGCTGTTCACCGTAGATGAACCCCAACCATCGGTTCTGCATGGCGTCTCGCACGCGGTTGTATGTTCGCGAGTCGACGACGGGCGTGGCCCATGTATCGTCGCCTTCAGCGTTCGCGAACGCCGAGTTGTCGAAACCGCTCTCCGTACTTGAATCAGAGTCGGAGAAGTGGTCGGGGTACAGGTCGACCTCGTCCACCATCGTATCAGGGTCATCAGAGGGACGGGAGGTATCGAAGAGGTACAGGAGATCTGTAGCATGATGTGGTACACCGCGCTTCGGCGCCTCCTGATCGAATACGTATCTCCAGAGCGGCGTGCCGGCTGCTTTGAGAGCCGAAGCGACTCGATGTGTCGGCCAAGAGAAGCGTGCGTCGTTCACGAGCTCGAGCAGGCGATCAGGAAGCTCGTCTTCGGGGACTTGGGCAGTTGCGTCGTACGCTCGCAGCAGATCGGTCGCACGGTGCAGGTTTTGAGCGAGCACCTTCACCCTCCTGTCCACAGCATTCGAGCTCCATTGAGATATGGGCTCAGCGTACATATACGCCTCGAACCCACAATCCCCAATGATAACAGGTGGCAAATGCGCCAATCGCTTCGCCGGCGACCTCGACCTCGACTTCTCCCTCGGCACGCTGAGACTCGCATGTGTCTTCTTGCCTGGCGAAGACGCAGACGCAGCAGAAGGCGTCCCATTAATCTCAGCGAGAACGCGTTCGGCCAGGACCGGGCAAGATGTGTCTTGAACTGGATGCGCGTGAACAAAGTGCCGATGTCCGTGTGCAGGGTCCGCGAAGCCGAGAAGCTCCTTCCAGCCTTCGCGGAACCATAGTCCATCGTCGACGGTCCGGTGGGGCGGAATGTGTATTACGAGCTTCTCCGCGTCTACCCGTCGCAGCTCATCGATGGAGTGTACGCCACACGCGGACATTGTGCGCCTGAGATGTGCGCCGGCTTGGGAGGATGAGGGGATGGCTGTCTCGAATGTGGGCGACTGGACGATGGCGCGCGCGAAGAGGTGCGAGTGGCGGGAGACAACATGGCATAAGACATCTGCGGCGCCCGAGGCTTGTCCTGCGAGCGTGACGGACTCTGGATCGCCACCGAAGTCGCCGATGAAGTTGTTGACCCATTCGAGCGCTCGGTATTGATCTCGCAGTGCAAAGTTGGCGCCCGGCTCATCCCCAAGCGCCGCATTACTCTCAGCAAGCGCTGCGCCCGCCGCCGAGCCCAATATGCCGAGGCGGTAACTGTGAAAAGAAGCAAGCAATGACACCCTTTAGCAACGAAGGACGCGTGGTGGGCGAAGATGGACGGATGATAGACGTACTTGAACGTCACGAGGACGATAGGTTTTCCCAGCAGTATGCTGCTCTGCACGAGCGCGCCTCCGTCGAATAGCCAGTGACTGCCTGAACCGCGGGGACCGCCTCTAACTCGGAAGGAAGGGGATGAGGGTTGGATGTAGACCATATGATGAGTATATACGCACCCATGAACCCAGACTAGAACAGGTAATCGTGAATGTGGTGTCGCGCCTGCCGGTACGGTGATATTGAGATTCAAGCATTCAGATTCGATCTGCTTCAGGTTCTGCACGGGGAACTCGTCCTCGTCGAAGCCGAACACCTCCTGCTCTATCCGTGGACCGCGAGGTTGTGGGCATACAGGCCTGGTAAACAGAAGCAGTCAGCCATGCACGTTCGTCGTTCGTACTAGGGTTCACAAGTCAGGCGCTCACCCATATCGTGTCGCGTCGGTGCGCGAATGATATTGTACGAACAAGTGAGACTGTCGAAACCGACCGGGCAAGCTCGCATACTTGATCCCGCGAAACTGATTCACAGGCGCGTCGGACGTCGAGACTGCATGCTGAATACCGATGAACGTCGTCTTGAGCGTAGCATGACGCACGACCGGCTGGTGGACGGACATTGTCGGCACAACAGCGACCATCTGCGCGGAAGTGCGGGGTAGCGGAAGAGAGTTGCTGTGGGGCTATTGCCAATATGAGCGGGAGGTACGGTATCAGCGCGACCTGGTGGTTGTGCGGAAAGGATCGAAAGGACGGGAGGAGCTCGATGATGTCGGCGGTTATGACTTTCGACATAAGGACCGTAGGCGTTCTCGTGTTCTCGAGACCATCGCGGCTTGCACGCACTAGTTTTCAGCACCTTCGCCCGGAAGAGGCAACCCCTTGACTTACCCGGCGATCGGCGCTTCGGGCCTCGATTCTCTCGAATCTCGTCCCGAATGTTCCCTTCCCAGGCCTCGAATGTGAACAGGCGCAGCCGAGTTGTGACCTGCGTGTCTCAGTCGTGCAGCTGTGGCGTAATGAGGCGGGTGACGGAGGTAAGGCATATGACCAATGGCTTGATGTTCAGAATGAAGTGGCGGTCCAGATCGGCCAGGCGCTGGCGTAGTATCCTGTACACACTGGGTCAAAGGGTTCGAATCAGACGAGTGGAAGAAGTTCGCATGGACTTTGAGTGCGACACCGATGAAGGCCCGCAAGAAGCTGTAATGACCATGCAGCGCCGCTGGTAAACCTTCCATGGTCCAGGTGATTGCATACTTGGGGCGCTAGCGCAATGCTCTGAAGCTAGTCAGTTGGAGTGCCGCACAGCACGTAGCGGTTCGATTTCGCTATCAAGCTAAATGACCAGCTCGGCGAGCATCTCATTGGGCCCTGCCAGCTTGATACAGCTGGAGCGCGATAGACACAAACTCTATCGACGTCGCAGCAGAGATGAGGCCATGCTCAACGCAATGGAAGTGCGGATGGTGCTCCAGCGGGAGCTTGCCGGCGTCTTACGCTTCAGCATCAAGTCACCCACTATTTCTTGCAGCAGGTATGTGGCGTATGTACAGTTTCATGGTGTTCAGCTCCATGGAGATGGTGGTCGTGTTGAAGGAGCTTCACGGTCGAGGCCGAGCGCGCGCTGCCGCATGTTGTTGCGAAAACATGGAGACGCGCTCACGTGGTTTTTGTACCAGTCGTCCGCATCAGATCGTACACGCAAGATCTTTGCGCCATAGGTGTATAAGGAGGATATAGTAATGTTCATTCAGAGTGTGCGTGTATAGGTCGTACAGTGAAAATGCTACAACAAGAGTGACGACCATGATGATATGAGAACCCAACCCAACCGAACCCCGACTAAAGATCTAAAATCAAGATAAACCAGCCACCAATCGAGAGTATACCGAGGGGATTGAAAAGGGTGTGCCCAGGGGGAAATATGAATAAGTACAGTAAGTTAGGTATTGTCGTGTGCCTGAGAGCATGCGGGAGTAAATATGTAGTTAGAGGGAGCGTGGGTAGATGCCGGGTAGATATGCATTAGTCCATATGCAGGTGTGTGAGGGGGTATCAGCGTGTGTGGTGTACGAGAAGGGAGAAGACAAGAAGATAGAAAGAAGAGACTATGGCTGCTTGACGTCGATTGGCGGAGGTGGAGGATCAGGGCCGGTCTTTGGTTCTGGTACCGACCCATTAGCGGTGGCGACCTGGTCGACCTGCTCCGCCGACTTCCGCCTCTTGCGCGCGACTTCCAACACAGCCTTCAGATCCCTGCACCGGAGTCAGCATCATTGTACCAGCAAACCCGCAGTAGGAGACGTACTTGAGCATAATTGGTTTCGTCAACACCCTATCCGCGCCCGCCTCAATATACGCGCTCTGATCCTCACTTAACGCGTTGCCGGTACACCCTACGACCAGGTCATCTCTGCCCAGACTCCTCAATCGACGCACGGTCTCCTCTCCAGTCATGACGGGCATGTAGTTGTCCAAGCTGACTAGGTCGTACTTGGGCGATTCCGGGCCGAGCATAGCGTCCAAGCATTGTTGTCCGTCTTCAGCCGTATCGACGACGCAGCCCAACTTCGTGAGCATGCGCGTCATGAGGGTACGCGTCATCGGGTCATCGTCGACGACGAGGACCTTCATAGCGTCAGGGTTTTGCGACATGCGTGATGGCGCTGGTGAAGGCGCGGGAGCGGGAACCTGAGGGCCGGGCGAAGGGGACGGTGCGGGCGGAGGGGCGTTGGCGTTCTTGAGCACGCCCTGTAGGCTCGAGTTGCTCGGAGGGGGCGTCGTCAATCCCGTCCTGGGGTCGTGCGGCGACAGCTGATCCTTATCCCGCTGCTCCTTCCGTGCCTTCGCATCCTCCTTCATTGTCATCTGCGGCGGGAGATACGGCGCATCAGTGCCTACGAACGACACGAACTTGTGGTTGGGCGCCTTCTCGGGTTCGGGCTCCAATGGTGGGTTTACAGCAGTGCCGACGGGTACGACGTTGGGAATGACGGGCTTCTCAAGTGTTACCGGTGGCATCGTCGTGGGCGCTAGACTGCGCAGAGTCTCCTGAATCTCTTCCTGACTTGCGATAGGGTAGGAGAACTCGACCCAGAAGATCGCGCCTTGACCCTTGCGGGACCGTACACCCAGACGACCGCCGCTGAGCGTGACAATCTGTCTCACGATCGCAAGGCCCAAACCACTGCCCTTGCCGCTAAGCTTGCCGACGTTGGTCTGAACGAAGGGCTGGAAAAGACGTCCGTCGACTAGATCCGAAGGTCGCACTACGGTCATCGTCAGCGTCGAAGTAAAGGAAAATCATGATGGGTCAACGTACCACCAGGTCCGCTGTCGTGCACCTCCAGCCTAAACACGATCCTCTCCCTCTTAGGCTTCCCCTCCATTCCACCCTCCAAATCCGAGCTCAACCGCGTATTAGGAGAACTCGTCCCAATCCCGCTCCCGCTTCCCGCGTTACTCAACATGAACTTATCGTCTCCATTGGATCCCACGTTCGGACTGACGAGCCTGGTAACGACCTTGATAGCCCCTCCTCCTTCAGGTGTGAACTTGACGGCGTTTGAGGCAAGGTTCGTGAGCACCTGACGCAGGCGAATTTCGTCGCCCACGACCCATAGCCCGTCTGTTGAGACGAAGGGAGACGCGAGGAGGTCGATGCGCTCGTCGAGATCTTTGTCTAGTCGGAGGTCCTTGGACGCCGTAGTGACTTCGATAGGCCCCAGAACGGACTGAACGGCGCGATGCAAGGGGAACGGTCGAGGTGAGGATTCGAAGCGACCGGCGTCCATCTCTGCGTTCGATCAGTCAGACGATTTGAAATTCAAGTAGACATGACTGTGAGAAGACACGTACTCTCGAGATCCAGCGCGTCATTCAGCACCTGCTGCATCATGGTCAAGCTCGCCTCGAGCGCGTACAACTCGACATTCTGATGAATCAACGCCTCATCCCTGAATGCGTTCTCGCTCTTCAAGTTCTCGTAGCTTAGCCAAGCCGTGTTGAGCGGCACGCGAACCTCGTGGAAGATGTAAGACGCGAAGCGTTTCTTGGCGTGGCTCGCTTTGGACTCGGCGATCTGAGCTTTCTGCTGCGCGCGGTAGGCGATCTTGAGTTGGTTGTTGACGATGTAGATACGGCGCGAGTTCTACAGGGCATATCAGAAGATGTTTAAGACGAGCAACGAAGTGGGTTGCTGTACCATCTCGAGGCTATAGTGGATACCTTGAACGAAGATTGAGAAGATCGCCTAGGAGGTGTCAGCACGGGTTCCTGGCGCTTATTGGTAGACCTGCGACTCACGAAGTTCACGACATTGCGGGTGTAGGCGCCATGGTCCGGAATGACCAACCCGACAGCCAAGCAGAAGTACAAGAACTGCGCAACTGCGTTGAACAGCCTACGAGACGCGATGAACAAGGCGATAGTCGGGAGACCAGTGCCATAATAAGCTATGTGCATGGATTATCAGCGAAGAGCGAAAGAGTGTCCAGGAAAGCGTACACATCTCTAGGAAATCCTATAAACGGTGGGTATGAGTATCTGGCTGCGGATTGCGAACGAGGAAACGGACCTTTCCATGGCACCGAGGATGGTCAGCGTAGAACCCGCACTGCTTGATCTCGATCACGTCGGCGAAGGCGCAGTACCATACGGCGACGATGAAGCAGCATTGGAAAAGCCATGGTCGCTTGACAGGATAGTCAAATGCGACCATAAAGGGGATGGCGACAGTAACTGCGACCAAGCCACCGTAGTAGACGATCTGTGGATGCGGGTCAGTGTCTGATGCAGCGGAGTTACGAGGGGATACGTACGAAACCGTAAAGGGAATGTGGTCGGATGAGAACGAGATACAGAATCATGTTGAGGTAGAGATAGAGCGACGCATAACTGGAATAGGGTTAAAGCTTGCGAGAATACATAGGAGGAGTACACGCACAAAGCGAGCCTCTTGTTCGTGTACTGCATTAAGGTTTCAGCGCTTGCTCGATGACATGAGAAGCGTGCAGACGCACCCATTCCTGCTTCTGGTAGTCGAGTTCTCGGGCTGGGAAGAACCATTAGCTATCCGGCAAAGAAGCGAGCGATGTAATGCGTACATGGCTCTTCGAAGTGAGGATTGAAGAACGTGACGACGTAGGGCCACAGATGTCCTCGGACCCAGCTCGAATAGCCGGACTCGGAGTTGCCGCTATCCCGCCTGTCAAAGTTGCGCTTGAGAGAACCGGTCTGCGAAACTGTTCCCTTCTCGGAGCCGGTGTTGGCTGTGAGATGGGGCCTGTGCTGGGAATCATGGTCCGCGCCCGCGCCCTCGTCCTCGTTGTCCACGATGATCTCGTCGAGCTCCCAGTCCGCCCCATTCTTCTCCGAGTTCTGCTGCCTCGACGCCGCATGGAAGTTGGCAATAATCGACGCCGAGGACTCGCTTCCGTCACCGCCGCCCAGTCCATCCGAAGGCGTGCCAGTAGAAGCTGAAGTGAACTTGTGCAGCACTCTCTTGAGGACTACTGTCTCCTTAGCACATACATATGTTATAAAGTAGCGAATATAACATACTGCGATGCCAGCCGTCCGCATTGGACTCGAACTTGATCTGCTTCGTCGGCACTCCGCTCTTGCCCCGCTCGCCAGTGCCACTAGTGTCGTCCCCACTCCGGCCGTCCTCGCCCTTCTCCGCGTCCGCCTGCGTCTGCGCCTCCTCCCCGCGGTGGAACGGCAGACCGCTCGAGCTCGTGCCAGCGCGTTTGGTGAATATCTTCATCCACATAGCATAGTGGTCGCAGGGAACAAGTCCTTCTTCCCATGCGGAATGCGGACCCAAGTGCAAAAAGTCCGGAGAAGGTACCGTCCGCAGGCTCGGAGGGGGCCTGGGCCTCATACATGCGTCATTTCTCGTTCCTCATATTTCTCGAAGGTTTTTGATCGGGAAAGACTATCGGTCGCTGCGTTTCAGAGGCATGAACATACGTAGGCTATGAGACGTAGTGGTCGAGGATGACGAGAAGATGCAAGCCACCTCAATGCCTCGGGCGACCCTCGGCGATGCCTCTTTCTGAGAATTTGTATATGTTGTGGGCCTATTTCTGGTACGTAGAGGGGTCAAATAGCATGTGAGCATATAGTACAGGCACGTCGTACACATCAGGTCAAGAACAGAAGGGAGTGAGAGCAAGGCAGCCGATTGGCGTGAGCCTTCGCCGATACCGGCACGAAGCGGCCGATGACCACACTCGGCTCTCATCTGCAGCGCTCGTTTTTGCCAGCGACATCCGTCCCGACGTTCGGCAGGGCGGCGGCTTCGGTCAAGACGTGTGGCGAGCCGCCGGTCGGTTCGTCAGTGCCGTCGGGAGCTTGTCGGGCTTATCGGGTCAAGGAGCGCGCACAGCGGAACTTATTCATCTGGGCGCGGAGCTACTGGATGAGGGCGCGATTAGCGTACATAGGCTGCAGCACCAGAAAGGTGCGGGGTCAACGATCGCGAATATTCCATACAAGAACCCAAACGAGCGTGAATGTGGTGCTGAACATGGCTGAGTTTCCATTTTGTGAAGTACGCGTTGTTGCCGACAGGCTTGCATCGCGGCCAGTGCTGAAAGGTCCAGTCTGTGGGCGCCAAATGGTAGAGTACATTGGCAAAAGACATCTAATACAACATTCAAAGCGTATGTTACATGCATAGCAAGAGACATCAAAGCAAAGAGCGGTCATGGAAGGGTAGTCTGTAGTATGTAAGTAGCAGTCAAAGTGTCAATCAAGCAAGCCTCCCGCCGTCCTTCTCAAGCATGTCCACTGAATATCCCCATCAAAGACGCCGCATGCCAGCTCCCCGTATTCCCCGCCAACATAGAGTCGAAGTCGCACGAAGCATGCGTAGCAGCGGTACTCCATCCACCAGCGCTCACCACGCGCTCACGATCAAGGTTCAGCTCGTACGCGGGTGTGGGCGTGCTGCGTCCACCAGCGACGTGCCATTCACCTGCAGCCAGTCCTGCATCGTAACTCGGCAGCGTAGCGATCGATATACCCGATGCCTGGGTGAGTAGCGAAGCCGAGTGCCGGTTCCGTAGGGCCCGGCGTTCGCTGACAGGTTCTGCGAAGTCATTTGGGTCGACGTTAGGAAGCGGGCTCGGTCGCGGAGTAGGGCGCGCAGGCACTTGTGGGTCTACCGGCGAGTCGACCTCGGCCTCAGACTCCTCGTTCTCCTCTTCCGCTTCGTGTATTGCGGGGGCACTAGGCGCGGCGCCTGCGAGAGTCGTAGGCGTGGGCACCGAGGATATGTCCGAGCTCTCCGCGCTGTCGTCCATGCTCAGCATGCTCGTAGAGGTATCAGGGCGCTGCATGTACATGCTAAGGTTGGCTGAGCTAACGCTGCGCGAATGTATGCGTGTTGAGACGCCGATGAGGTTGGACATGCTCGCCGAGCGCGAGTGCAGGCGCGTGACGCTCGCAGTCCTGTGAAGAGGCGGAGGGCTGGCTGCACGGCTAAGGCTGCCAAGACTTGGTGTCCTGGAGTGAAGAGGGCGTGCGCCAGTGGGCCTGTCGGACACGGTGCGCGAGCGGGTGCTGGCAATGCTTTCGCGCGGGGTACGGAATGGGTTTTCGGACTCGTGTGTCGCAGTGAGTAGTCGTTGAGCAGTAGCCCACGCCGTCAACTCAGCGCTCGTAGGTGAGACGAGCGTGACTGATATCGCCGGGAGTGTGGGCAGAGATGGCGATGCCATAGGGAAGGGGAATGAGGAGATGATGTCGGTAGATGCAGTCTGAGGCTCGGTTGAGGATGAAGGGGACGCTGAGAAGAAGTCGGAACGGTGAACGGATGAGACGTCGGAAGATAGATAGTGAGATCCGGAACTCCGATCGACGCTAGAGTGGCTGTCGAAGGGAGTGGGGTACGCCGAATTTGTTGGTGAGATGTCTACGAAGAGAGTGGGTGGAGATGGAGCCCGCTTCTTCTCCGCTGGTATGCATAGTCAGTATCAACACGCAATGGGAACATGAGAGGATCGCTCACAGGAAGAACGAGGGTATTGGTAGTCGTGATATGATTGCTGGCGACGACGTAGACGCCTCTTCCGCCAGTAACTCGCTCCGCCGACGACCAGTAGCAGTGCGACCACGGCACTTATAGAGGCGGCGACAGCAACCGCGGTGTGATCAGAGCTATGCGTTTGTGTGCTCGATGCGGGTGTGGCGGGTTCCGTAGCAAAAGTCTCGTCTATCGATGATGTCGATCCAGAGGCCATGGGGGTTACAGTCGCTGCAGGGCTCGTGAGTTATGATGCGAGCGCGTTTTTAAACCAGACTCACAATACGAGGAAGAAGTTACAGAGGCGCTGGTCGAGGTAGGGGCCACGGCAGAGGAAGTAGACGCCGTGGAGGCCGATGTGCTTGAGGAAGCAGCACTGAATGAACTTCGAAGACGTCAGTCAGTATATGGCGATTTTGATACCCGGACCGAAGGAGTACTCACTCAGTGCTGAAGTACCCAGCGGGGGCAGTAGCCCAATATGTTATGCCGGCCCTGGGCTGGATCCGCGCCGACGAGATAGGCGAGATGGTTGGAGTAGGGGCCATTGCGAGGTTAGTATGAGGTGACCGAGCGTCTGTACTGGGTCGCTCGCAAGGAGAATGGGACCACGATGGCAGGGCGGTTTCTACCCTGACTTTGCCGGCCAGAGATAAATACCTCAAAGCGTTGTGTAAAGGCGCTCGGCGTCGGGCCAGACACCTATATACAACATTCTCACGCAGCCGCGTGAAGGCACGTCGGCGGGATCAGCGTACGATCAACAGTGTGAACTTCCGACGCCCGCCGCGTTTTGCGCGCAGAGGCTTGGAGAACTTAGCCGCCCACGCTACCGCAAGGCATGCACAGTAGCGTAAAGGGGCGCCTCGCTGTATTAGGAAGAGACTAGGTCCGGTTGTCACGATGTTTGGATCGCCGGGATCGACGTCTTCTTCAGCAGGGTCGTCCACCGCAAATCCTCTTCTCTCGAAGTGCTTCTACGCTCGTTCCAGCATCCTATACCGGCGCACAATACACTCATAGCACGTAACATAGGCTTTCGCTTGAACGGTGTGGACTGTGCCGCGGCAGGGAACAGTGAGCTAACCACTGACAATCCGCCTCGGTGAACAGACTGCGTCACATCAACCGCATCTTGAGTGACCGAGGGCGCGATGTTGCCGGGTTGAAACTCGACGAGCGGCCGTGAGAACATAGCGCTAACGGCACGTTTGTTCAAGTTGAGAGCCGCATGCACACGTCGCCGAAGGCTGCGAGATTGGGCTGGCTGGTCGAGTGCGATGTAGAACCTGCGGGATTCAGCACTGGCGTCGTCCGCTCATCTGCAGGATAGCTTGCACAGAGCGACGACTAGTGGGGGACCACTCAACCAAAACGAAGATAATCTCGATAATAGACTTACACCAATGTCGGCCTAACGGCGGGATCCAGGCGGGCAGGTTCAATAGAGTATAATTATGCGACGTCTATAGAGAAAGTTGTCGACTCTTGGTACCGAGCACGACACCGCCGACGCGCAGCGTCATCGAGGGGTACATCCGCACGGAACAGCAGGCCGTCGTGCGCGCTGGCAAGAGGCTCGGGCGCGAGTGATGACGATTTACCCACGCCCTGCCCGAACACGAGTTGCTCGCAGATCGCGCACACAGAGAATGTTCCAGGCATCGCGCTTTGCCGTACTTGCATTCCCATGGTCATACAGTAATTGGGCGGTCCGAAACTGCGAGTGAGGTTTGGCGTTCGGGGAACTCGAAGTGGACTGGAGAACACTGCGGGTTCGTTGCGGTAACGTAGGTGTAACGAAATCTATTCTCTCGCACTAGCGGAAAGCTGTACGTCTACTACCGGACTTGACGGGAGACTACGGCCGTTCGCTTAGGCCTAAGGCTGACATCACAAGTATGACAGAGGATATGTGCAAGCGAGTATAGTAGGCGATGTCTTTCGGGCATTCACGGACAACAGTCACTTGCCTTCAGTCTGTGAACCGACGGTACTGAGCGGATCGAAAGTCTGGAGCTGTGCAACAGCACAACATCAGTACGCTGGCCTAGAGCGCGTTGTTAGATGACGTTCGATAATGGTCTGGGTATGACATCGTTGAAGAACGGCTGAGATCCCGTCTGCTACACACCTTCCTTTAACACACCAATACCAGCGTAGAGTCCATGCACGCCGATGTTAGTGTCCAGTCGATCGATAACTATCAGACCTGAGTCGGTACACCTACAGTCCATGACCAAGTTGGCGGCAAGTTGTCGGGCCGAGTGCAAGTTGCAGTTATCCTGCCTGGAAGGCGCGCAATATCGTAGCCGCATCACCACTCGAGCGCGTGTGCCAATGGGGTAATTTCGAGATGGTTGTCCAATTGAATCAAACTACAATTTCTACAGAGCTTCTTCCGGTCCGTTCGGGGATACAAAGGGCGTTCAGTCGAGACAGACAGCGAAAGCGAGCCGTAGGTATAGATGAGATGGGGGCGAGAAGATTGGGATAAGCAGTGCGCGAACGCGGTTTGATCAGTTGCCACGCGAGACCTTGTCGAGCACTGCGCGCCAAGTTGAACATGAGATTAGCGCTCAACATGAAACCACATAAGGACTGCGGCGTACCGCTTTCATGAGCGACCTCAGAGTAGTCGGTGCCCTGGATCTCAGAAGCGATACCGACGAGTGCACGACGAAGGGCGTCCTTGGACGAGGCGAAGAGCATCTTGTCCTTGATCTTCGCGTCATCGGGCGACCTGAGTATGACGATGTTAGCTCGCGTGCCACCTCTACTATGATAGATTCTGAGGACTGAAAAAGAACGCACCACATGAAGAAGCAGATCTTGTTGCGCTGGCCACCGTCCTTCTCAAACTGGAAGTCGTAGACTGCCCAACGGCACTCGTTCTCGGGCAAGTCGGCAAGGAAGTTATCGTACGACGGATCGTCCGACTTCTTCGTCACAACAATTTGGGTCTTGTCGGCAGAGACCTGGTAGATGATGTATTTGAGCTTCTTGCCGAGCTTGAGCTCCTGGAACGCCTGCAAGCAGGCGTCGTCGACGGATACACCGGACATTCCCGACTGGGCAGAATTAAATCAGATCGGGATCGTCTAGAGTATCGAGAGTTATGTGAGCTCGCTTACCATGATTAATAGGAGAGTTTGGGGAGACGGGGAAGGGTGAGGGCAGGAAGAGACGAGTGTCAGAGGCTGAGCGCGTATCGATGCTCGAGTTCAAGGGCGCGCGCTCGGCAATCTGCGGGACAAGCGCGTCCGCGCGGTAAGCCTGTACGGGGAATTGGTTCTCTCCTGCATGGCGATGAACAAAGGTCACTGCTTTTGCGCTGCGCAAGTCACTTGTCGAACGTAGATCTGTAGTGATGACGAGTGAAGACAGGACGAGGTTGTCAAGGGTATGTAGGGGTGTTCCCGGGATGCTCAGCGAGAACAATGGCCCTCTCTCGCGTTGTTGTTCTTTATATGGTCCCTCGCTTGTTCGCCGTCTCCACGGCCATGAGGGTTCCTCGCAACTGAATGGAACGAGCCTTTTGTTGAAGCACCTCATAAGGGCGGCAAATTTGTATACTGTCACTCAGACTGCGTCTCTCCCGCATCGGTCTTGTCCTCCTTCGACTCCTCGACTTTACGCCTCTGAGCCCGGCGCTCCTCATTCATCGCTACGCGCATCGCACTCTTTGCATTCACATCTAGACGCTCCATCTCACGCACATTCTCTCCGACTACTATGATGTTCAAGCTCGTCCTTGTTTCCCTCCTCGCATCCTCGGCGCTTGCTGCACCCTACCGCCCGTATAAGGGTATATTCGGTATGTGCTTCTGTTCGTGCTCTTGGCTCCACCCTGACACTTGTACAGGTCGCGCTGCCCCGGGAACATTCGATAATCCTTCGGTAGAGGCTGGCGCTGCCAGCACTACTGCCGCTGAAGGCGCTGCGACAACCAGCGCTGTGGTTGCGACCTCGGTCGTGAACTCCGTCTCCACCGGCGCGACCTCACTAGCTTTCAACGCCTCCGCGACCTCCGTCGCCAGTTTCGTACCAGCTTCGGCTGCCACCAGCGCCATAGCTTTCACCACTCAAGCCATCAACGGCTCCGCCGCGACCGCGACCTCCATTGCCGCTGCATCTGCAGCGACCTCCGCTATTGGCGCCGCCAATGCGACTTCAACACCCATCGCAAGCGGGACCGCCGCCGTCCCCGCCGCCACTTCGCCCGCCGGCGCAGCCGCTATTGGTTCTATCACGGCCGGCACGAGCTCATCTGCCGTCACGGGCGCCGACGGTACCGTCACGATGAACGTCGTCCAAACCGTCTTCATCGTTATGACTCCCACTGCCGATGTCGGTGCGACCGCCGCCCCCACTGCGTCGGCTGAGAGTACCGCCGCCGCCGCGTCTGCGCCTGGCCTTGCGACTAGCGCCGTTGCCGCAACAAGCGCAGCCGTGACGAGCGCCGCCACGACTGCTACCGGCGCCGCCTCTGCGGCCACCTCGGCAGTATCAGGCGCAGCTGCGGCGACGACGAGCGCGCCCGTCGTTGCTGCCGCTCAGACGACCGCTCCGGCCGCGTCTTCCGCGACGGGAGGTGTCATCCACCTCAGCGTCGCGAATCCTGCACTCGCGTCTGCTTCTGCTTGAACTTTGATACAACTTCTGCCAGACTCTTTGACATGTATCGAGTAGCACACACTTTGTAGCATACTATACGCTGTGATGAATAACTTCGGATTTGGGGACTGCGTCCCCTCAACGTCTCTTGAGTGCCATATATGCAGCCATCGCCGAGCAATCATGAAGACCAGTTCAAATACCTCGCTTGTGGGGTATATGCACTATTGTGCTCTTCGTACTCAGATAGATAAACGCTCGTCGGTCGCGAAGAAGCCAATTGACCGAGGTTTTCCCACATTGTCCCGACCCCGCGCAGATCATAGCATTCTCAGTTTTCTCGAGCGGCCATCGCCTACTACACACCTTTGCGGCGCATGCTAACGCGAGCACGATACCTTAGGCCTTATTTGCGGTACAGGGGAAGACGTGTGCCGAGCGACTTGAACCTCTCAATCCCATTGACAATCGGCCCGCCGTGACCGGTACCGGCCGTCTAACCTTCGCGCAACCCTCAGAGATTTTCAGGTCCTGGGGCATTATAAAGAGTTGGCGACCCCAGACAAAAGAGTACGCAGGCTATTGTAGCCCATCACGAGGCATCAGCTGTGGCGATCAGCGGTCAGTGATGCAGAGTCATTTCGCGGCCGAGGGCGTGGGAAACGGTCACGGTACCGCGTCGGACCCTCATAAAACCTCTGGACGCGTCATTTCTTCGACCACCATCTCCCCTTGGCCCCGACGTTCATGTTATCGTTGCACACATATCAAATGGCATTCCCCAACCCGCATCCGTACGACGAGTCTCTGTACTCTCAGCAACAACCTCAATTTCAAGGCCCTCAAGTTCAAGGATACCCTCAACACGAGTCGCCAAGCGCGACGTCGCCCGGCGGCGCGAGCAGCAGCAGTGCCAGTACGCCGATGGCGTATCAGGGCCAGTGGGAGTTTGCATCTGTGGCCCCAATACCCACTGTGCCATCTCAGCCTACCTTGCATCCCGCTATATTCTCACCCCATGAGACTTATGGTGCCGCGGACTTTGCGCCTCCGCCGGGTCCACCTCCACTTCCAGCTCCTGTAGCCGAGATGCAGCACCATTCTCCGGCACCTCCAGCAGTGATTAGGCTTGAGGAGAAGCAGCCTTTGATTCCCAACGAGATTCTTACGCGTTCACGTGCTCGTGATGAAGCGCGACAGCAAGCCGCCTCTGGATCTGGCTCGGGGTCGCCCGGCGGTGGTACTGGCGGGGTGAGCAGATCTACGCGCGCTCATGAGCGTCCGTCTCCATATACCCGTCCGCAGCCATCAGGCTCGGGCTCGGGTCAGCGGAAGGGCAAACGTGCTGCTGGTGGTGATAGCAGCCGCCCGTCGACATCCGCCCGTCGGATGAGCGGGTCGCCCATGAATTTCTCGCCTGAGGAAGTAGCCGAGTCTTCTGCGAGCGTGGGCGGTTCACATTCTGCTGTTGGCGGTGGTGATTTGTCGCCTGTGGTCGGTGGAAGTGTTGGGCAGCCTGGGATTGCGGGGATGAGGTACGACGTGACCTCAACGCCCCGGACCATCGTTGTATACCTCGCAGCCCTGTCGTGTCCATGTCGTCGTCGCATTGCTTCTCTTTTCTCGTCTCGCTTTGCTCCCAGTTCCTGCTCGCTGACTCCATTTCTTTCATCCTACAGTCCTCCCGCGATCGTCCCAAGCATGTCGCGCACCTCAGCTCCTCGCGTATCTTCGCCCCTCGCACGTGTGCCTCCCTTGTCCATCGGTGAAGCGGTCCAGCCCAAGGTTTACAGCATTCGCGGCGACATCCTCTGGAACGAAGAAGACGAGATGCTCGAGCTTGAGTTTGAAATGCCCGGCGTCAAGATGGCCGACCTCGACATCTCGCTTGTGCGCGAACCCTACTCCCAAGCCGTGCAACTCGTCATTCAAGGCCGCACCTCGCCTCGTTTGACAAACTCACCCGGAAAGCGCGCGCAACTCAGGCGGGAACGCAACTACGGTCCCTTCCGTCGCGCCATCATGGTGCCTCCTACTACCACGGTACGTCGTCGCTTGGGCTTCGTCTCTTCGTCTTTAGATACCCGTTGCGAGCCCTAAGTAGGCCGACAATGTAAAAGCTATTTTGGATGACGGTGTCTTGACCGTTCGTGTGCCCCTTCCCATGTCCGGCGTGCCTCAAGAACCTCCTCAAGCCGTCCAGCTCCAGCATTGAGCGTCAAGAGCGTCCTCAAGATCCATCTCAAGACCAAGACCATCCTGCCTCAAGACCAAAACTCAAGCCGCGTGTTGTTGGAAAGTGATACGTGCCCTTCTTGTATGCCTCTCTGTCTGTCTCAAGTTTCAAATCTGTCCGTGTGCCGCCCCGTCGTTGTTTTGAAAGACCCGTATGCCCCGATGGAGTCGTTCGTTCTCGCTTGCTCTACATCTTGCTGTCTACGTTACGAGTCTACGCTCTTCCCGTAATCCCCATTGGACACCTCGCCTTGTTTCATACCCCTTTTTTCCTTGTTTGTCTGGCTCGAATATGTATCTGATTGGTTTGGACTATGAACTATGCGCTTTCTTGCTTCTTTACCCTTGTGTGATCGTGTGATTAGATAAGTAGTAGGCAGTTTCCGTCGTCGGTCCTTTCGTATGTAGGCTAGTTGTATCCAGATTTCGTCTAACACTGTACCTCTAACACATAGACGGGAATACATCCGTGCACTGTATCGTCATCAGTCCTTCTACTAGTTCAATTCCGAGGTCCATGAGCAGCGCTCGAATCAAGGATATCATGAGTACCTGTCGACGGACTTATCACCGCACACTGAGGAGTACGACGCAAAAGACTTCCATTCAGCTGGTAGTAGTACACTTCGTCGTACAGCGCCCTGAAAGCGAAGTGCATGCTTCGGACCGCATCGGACCGGGCAGGACGCTTCGCCCATTTACGCCCCCACGTGAGTTGCCATCGCGTGCGTCATAGCGCTCTACTCCTGCGAGCTGGCCTCAGAGCCTGCTTGTAGGTCTGTGACCACGTAGCTCATTTCCAAAACAGCAAGAGTACAAAGAATGACTGGTATAAACCTAAAGAAAGACGGTATACAGGTATATAACTCTCGCTACTGCGCCCCAAACGCGACTCAACATCGTGCGCCCGAAGCTCCGCAGACGCCCGGACCATTCTCAACCTACTGTGCAACCTCATCTTTAGTTGACAATGCCCACACCTGCGTGTGCTTGCACATAGGTTGCAGCATCTTGGGCGCTGAGAAGCGTCCAGCCGGCCGAGTAAGCGCTCGTGATCCCGCTAAGCACGCCAGTGTCGGACGCATCGACGAGCGAACCCGAGCTCAGGAGAGTGTTTGCTACGCATGAGCGGCCTAGGGCAGACTGGCATGCAGTCGAAGATGCGGTGGGGACGTAAAGTTGGCCGTCGCCTTCGAGATTCGGCGATGTCACGTCGTTGAAGTAGTTGCCCTGCGAGAGTAATGTCCCAGACTCAGCAGGACGCTATCTCTGCTATACTGTGATGCGTACCTCAAGAAGTACCTTAGAGCCAACGTCAGGCTCAACCGCGTGTCCATCGATCTAAAGCTTCTGTTAGACTAGCTGTACGCTCCAGAAAGAGAAGAACATACATGGTCGTAGTAGTTGTTGAAGATGTGGATGTTCTGGTAGTATCCCGACGTGCCACCAACATGCGGTCCGCGGCCAGACGTGTGGTAGATGTGGTTGAGAGCAAAGGTAAGCTGGTCGCCGGAACCGGTGAAGATAAAGGCCCAGTAGGCGTATCCGTTGCAATAGGGGGAGTAGGTTACGTCGCCGTCGAAGACGTTGTTCGAGATGGTCGTCTTCGTCACGGCACCGTAACCGGTGGCGATGAACTGACGGCCGATGTTTTGGATGACTGTAATATGTGTTCCAGGGGTGAGCGGTGACTGTACGGTGAGCGAGAGTATGAAGAGGGAAGGCGTACAGTTGTGGTCAATCCAAATGTTCGAACCGCCATCGATCGCAATGGCGTCTCCACCCCAGACAAACTGACTAGCCAGACGATGAGCGTTCTCCTCATGAGTGCATTGCATATATACTTACGCGTTGATGTCGACTGTGTAAAGCCTTAGAAAGTGTTCGCATCTAGCTGTACAAAGAGAGAGGCGCACCGATCTTGATGTTCTGGATGATGACGTTGTTGCTGCCGCTGAGGTACAAACCTTTACCACGGATACCCGCGCTGCTGCCCTTGCCGAGAAGCGTCTTGTTGCTACCAACCTTGAGGGGGTTAAGACCGGCGTTGTCATACGTGACCGTTGTCTTTGACGCGCTCGGCTCGTAGTTCTCGCACCCTAGCCACGGCATGGCATCGTCAGTACATGTTTAATTGAACCGTACATGAGACTATCGCCCACAGCTGTTCTTGTCGATGGCAATCTGCGGGTTGGGTGTGCACGTCCAGACCTTGCATGCAGAGCCAGTCGTAGTGCCCTCGGTACCGGTAAAGTCGAACGTCTTGTCGAGTACGATGGTGCGAGCCGTGCTGTCCGAGAGCCAAGTCGTGAGTTGCGCCAGAGACGTAGGCGTAGCAGCTGCAGCCGATCCACCGCCAGTCGTAGCAGAGCCGAGACCGAATGGCGTGCCAACGGCCAGAACCTGCGGTAAGAGCGATACCGCCGCGAGGAGGGACGCGAAAGTTGAGCTGAGCTGCATGATGGCGATGAGCTTCCCGTCAAGTAGCGAGCAAGCACGACTCAGAAGACGGAAGCCTACTTCCCCTTCTTATAGTGGAGAGCGCAGTACGCGTCGCATGCTGTAGACGACGGATAAACTGGACTCGGGGCGGGTCCACGGGAACAATCATCGCTTGTTGCCTCCCGTCCTCGTTCCTCCGAGGTCGATTACGAGCACCGCTGCACTCAATCGCACGTTGCCAAGAGAATGGTAAACCGACCGGGGCGGGCCGCCGGGGCGAGTGCAGCCTGCGCTGCTCATCCGAACAGGGCGACGTTCCGGGCCATATGGTAACTCATAGAGGCCGGAGTGCACCTGAAGCTAGCCAGCCTTGCAAAGCCATGATCCATGAATTGAGTCATCTGCCCAGCGCAGTATTCAGTCTCTCTCACAGGTGAGGCAGTATGGAAGGCCCATGTGAGCTGTATAAAGCCTGCAATAATCCGAGGAGATGACATGAGAAGCATCTCCGTCGCTCACAGGCACGCGAAGGCACATCCGTGCCTAACGCAACATAGACAACGGAAGACGGAAGTTCTTTGCGACTCGATGCCGACTCCCGATCGCGACACATTGCACAAGTGACGCATAGCAACGTTCACCGAGGCAACGCGGCAAGTATATATCTGTCAAAACACACGTGAGCGTGTTGGATATAGCTGGAAACACTTGTAGGACTCAACGGCGGTCGTATGCGCACACTGCCCTGGCCGCATACTCGAGAAGTACGAATCGTGTATGACAGTACCATTCACGAGACTAGCGATTGTCGAGTATGGCCTTGTGAAGGGTTGGTGAAGGGAGGCTGATAGCTTTCACTCCGTATTAGCTAACATTGTCCCCCCCAACAGATGGGCGATCGCAGAGGCATTCGAATTCGGAGTGCACGCATATCGTAGAAAGGCATCTCCCTTGAGTACGTAGAAGCACATTTTGTGACGAGGTAGTGGACGAACTGAAGGAAGGAGCCTAAGTATGACGCTCGGTCGCGCCCGGCCCGTCTCCAGCCGACGCGGCACGCCTGGCGCGCCCCGGCTTCTCAATTCTGCTTCTTCCCTTCATCATTGTGCTTAAATAGCTTTGCCATGTCTAGAATACCGGTTGGGGTCTCTCGTCCACTGGTCAGATACCCCACATAATATGATGACGAGCGCTGTTCTAGTATTCAGATCGGGGTTATCGCGGAGTCACGACAACTCGCTTCTTCGCTTCGACTGGCTTCGACTGCTTCGCCCCTCGAGCGCCACAGAGCACCCACGTCTCAAACGACACGGAAAATATGACGCTGTTACATCCTGCTATACTATGCTAGCATGGTGCGCGTAGTCATGAAGGTGGGGTTGGGGTGCTTGAGCTTGTTGGCCTTTTGAAGGGAAGACCGCGCAGGCGGTGGTGCCTGGTGCTGATCGCTGCTATATGGTACACGACGCCCGTCCGTGCATCAAGATCCCCGCGAGCAGCTGAGCTCGGTATGCTCAGTTGTAAGTTTATCGAAGGCTCCCAAGGACGCATGGTGGCCTTCGCCATCAGCACAGCCCCCATTTGAGAATTCGTCGTCCACTTGTGACTGGTCGCTTGACATCTGCCGGCGTCAGAAGCCGAGTGGCCTCACGTATAAGTATCTACGGGCGTCACCCTCTTCCTTCTGTTCACTTCGCGAAGATGGCTTCGGGCGTCTTCAGCTTATCGGACCTACAGTGGTCGCTTTCGAATGCCAATGGTTCCATCGTCGTGCCGGGTTCGCTGCCATCACAAGTACATCTCGACTTAGAGCGTGCTGGGATTATCACTGAGCCTCTTCTTGGGATCAACGGCATGGATTCCGCTATGACGTCCGTCAGAGTACGTGCTGAACGGGGCATACAGACTTCACTCAACGGTGGATCGTGACGGACAATTGGACTTACACTGCGGATGTCTCACCCTTCCTGAGCACGCAAGGCAATTCTTCAGATGGGACACTATTGGTCTTTTATGGCATTGATACTGTGGCAAACATCGTAAGCATATCTCTCATGGTTTCGGAGAACATACACACTCATTCATGTACGAGAAAGACTCTAGCAGATCAGCCCGTGGCTTGGGTCAACAACGAGTTCCAGCAATACGTCTTCAATGTTACCGACATTCTGTCAAACGTTGGTGGGAACCCGAAACCCAACCTCACTGTCGCGTTCGAATCGCCGTATCTCTATGGTTTGAACGCCTCGGGGTTTGCTCCTGATACTGAGACATTTGGCGATGTGAGTTCTGGCCCGTGGTTATTCGTAACGCGCCGAACTCAAGGAATTTTCAGTTCGAATATCCATGGGCTCGCATCTGGGTGCGGAAGATACAGTCAGATTTCGGATGGGACTGGTATGTCTAAGTTCTCACTCTGACGGCTGGTCGTTGACTATGATTGCTAGGGGACCTGCATTCGTCCCCACGGGGATACACAAGCCGGCGTACTTCATCACGCTCGCGGCGGGGGCGAATTCGGATGGCTCGACAGCATCTCCGGCTCTGGTCTCAGAAACCTCCGTCGACATCTACAAACAAGGCTACGATGTTGCGACGCAAGGGCCTGCCAATGAAACTGCACCCTGGGTCATAGATGTGAAGCTTGGTGTACATTCTGCTATAGACTCAAGCGCTTCCCTCGTCCTGTCCATTCCCGAACTTGATCTCACGTCGGACGCATTGCCCTTGGGTCAGATACCATCTTTGAACGATTCGATTGCCAGCACGCCTTTCTTCGTTGGCGCCAATTGGACCATTGATGATGGCGTACCCCAACGATGGTGGCCACACAATCTTGGAACACCCAAACTCTACAATCTATCTCTTACGCTCAATCTCGATGACACGCCTTTGACGTTCAATTCGACCATCGGCTTCCGAACAATCAGGTTGGCACAGACGCATTATCCCGACGAGGAGGTTATCGAACGCGGTATCACCCCTGGCGATCAATGGCACTTCGAAGTCAATGGTGCTGCCTTCTACGCCAGTGGCACCAACATCATACCCTTCGACCCATTCTATGCACGCGTGACGGACGAGCAGGTCCGGTGGGTCATCGATAGTGCAGTTCAGAGTGGTCAGAATATGGTGAGGTTCGAGCCATCTATACATCCGTCTACTTGCGCTCATGAGTCACAGTTGCGAGTTTGGGGCGGAGGCGCTTACCAGCCAAGCACTACGAATGCTGCCATCACTCCAGTATATCCGCCGCATGTGACCGACACATACTCATTCTATGCGTTCTGTGACGAACTGGGTATCCTCGCCTGGTCGGAGTTCATCTTCTCGGACGATTTGTATCCCATAGATGACTGGTTGTTATCTTCCATCAAGACAGAAGTTCAGCAGAACGTTCGGCGCGTCAACAAGCACCCAAGCGTAGCGCAATGGGCGGGCGGTAATGAAATCGAGGGCATCGTGACAACTATCAATCAGACGCTATCCAACGGCACGATCTACCTGGACGAGGTGTGGAGCTCTTTGCCATGGCCTTGCCCGGAAGCTAATTCTCAGCTGAACAGTATGTCACGCTTTTTCAAGATTTCCTGTGGGATATTGCATATCAAGAGACAAAGTCTGTGAGTGAAGAGTTTGCTATACCTATTGGTCCATCGTTGGTTTTGACAGCTCGTCTAGGTCCCGTACACGGACTGTTCAACCACACATGGCGTCCTCAGCATCGATCCACTCGTGATCAGGTTCAACAATGCAACACCTGGAGAGATATATGGCAACGGCGGTGCGCTACTACCTCCATCCTGGTAGTCGTCATATAGCTCACATGGATGCACATTAGAACGTTACAACTACGATGCATCTCAAGCTTTCAATCTCAGCACTTTCCCAGTGACCCGGTGAGCTCTACGGTGTCTTTTACGGTCCTGGTGCTGATGATTTTTGCAAGCTTCATGAACGAGTTTGGGTGAGACTTATCCTCAAGTTCGACCCCAGCGGCGACCGCTGATCCATACGTCCAGCTATCATTCCATGCCGTCCTTCTATAGCTGGGAGCAAGTACTCCAGTCTCCGGATGACTTCTCCTTCAACTCAACGGTCGTGATGTCTCGCGATCATCACCCACCCGCCGGCAACCTCTCCTTCCCGAACCCCAATGCTCCTCAAGGTCAAGCCCAGATGACGCAAGGTGTTGAGCTCTGGATGCCAACTCCAGACCTGGACGATACGAACAGCACCTTCGCCGCCTGGGCATGGAGCACTCAAGTCTTCCAGGCCATGACGATGGATGCTCAGATCGCGTGGTATCGCCGTGGCGCAGGGCTGGGAGTGAACAACCTAGGATCGTTGGTGTGGCAACTAAACGATATCTGGCAAGGCGTGAGCTGGTCGAGCATCGAATACGATGGTCGATGGAAGGTGCTGCAGTACACCATGTCGCGCGACTATCAACCGGTTGTTATCAACGCGTTCTGGACGCCCGAGAACGAGACGCTGCAACTTCTGGTCACATCTGATCGCCTCGAGGAGGTTACCGGCACAGCTGAATGGACTTGGTACGACTGGTCGGGCGTTGCGCTCTCGTCCTCGTCAACGAACTTCACTACACCGCCACTCAACAATTCCGTTGTCTTCGAAGGTCAGGGTCTGACGGAGATCCTACCCTCCGGCGCGAAAGTTGACAATGCCTGGCTGCTCATGAACGTCACCGCCGAGGCCAACAATGGTACAGTGACACACGAGAGCTACGTGCGTCCAATGTTCTGCTCGACCTCGATGCGGTCCGCTGACTTCTGCCTAGTTCACGCCTGCTTCCCTGTCCAACGCATTCCTCGTCGATCCGCAGCTTGAACTTGTCCCAAGCGCCGAAGGTAACTTCACCTTCACTTTGTCTGCTACAGGAGGCGTTGCAGCATGGGCCTGGCTGGAACACCCTGCCAACACTATCGGTGTCTTTGTCGACGCCAGCGGTGTGCCCTCGAACGCGTTCTTTGTGATCCCCGGCGTAGATCGGCAAGGTAAGACTTCATTCATTCACGATTTTGCTGTACCTCAATCGAAACACTCTGCAGTGACGTTCCTGATGAACGAGGCCCTGTCAAAGAACCTATCGTCGGCGTCGGAGGACTTTGTTGTCAGGTCGATGTGGAATAACACGCACGCTTAGACTGGCGCTAACGACACTATCCCTTTCGATACTAATTAAATGCACTTCGCTTATGCTCGTCTTCGATGCCTAGTTCATAGGTGGTAGACTGAAGTGAGCGACGATGGCCTTCAGTATTAGGGCCGAATAGAGCGCGAGGCAAGTATGCAACAACAAGAACAGCAATTACACACGATAACGAACAGCAAAGCAACCCTCCCAGTGGAAAGCGACAATATCTCACAGCATCTAGCAACGTCAAAGCAGCACACAGTGCAAGCCGGACCAGATTAGACGGCATTGACGCCGTATTTTCCTTCCGGGTACTCCCCAGACTTGATGTCGGAATCAGCTATGTACCGCTTGTCCGTCTCTTGGTGCTCCTCGAATGTCCGGTGGACGTCGACTTCGAGGGGTACTACGGCGCTGAAACCGGTGTCGGTCTGCGGTGCGCGCATACGGCGCATTGGAGTGATGTCCGGTGCACTGCGCGCAGATGCTGATACACCGCTCGGACTGGAAGAAGACGGCGTCAGACAACGAGACTAAGATCGGCACGGAGTAAGACGTACTTGTATGCGCCTGTGAAGTCTGAGAGCGCGCGGTACATGCGCGTTGCTCCGATGACGAGGATGATCATCTCTGGTGTGAAGAACATCTGCAAAGGAGCTCAGTCGAAGTACTGGTGAGAGCCGGCGCTGGTACGTACCAAGTTCATCACCTCTGTAACAAGGCATGATCGTCAGTGAGGGCCCTCACCCGTGAAGGCCAATTCAACGCACGATTCAGGTTAAGCCATAGGAAGATCACGGTTGGGACCTCAGCGATCGTGGCGAGTGCGAGCCACATCAGACCCTGATCGAGCCATGCGTCAGACTACCGTCTCTGGTCGCTTGAGCAGACGCACCTGATTCCAGAGCACCCTCCAAAGGCCGTACGTGCGGGCCTGTCTTCTCCGCAGCAACCCGATGAGCATCGAGACCAGAAGGATGACGTCCGTGCACAGGGTCACAGTTACATTCGCCTGGCTCGTCTGCGTATTCAAAACGAGGCAGGTAGCCTGAAGGGGCACCCACGCTGCGTCTGCCTGTCGTTACTGACTCAGCGTTTGCAGAAATGGGATGGCGTTGAGGCATACCTCTGCGAGTTCTACAGCAGTCGCTCAATTGCTGTTCATCACCGTGAAGGAGGGCACGTACCACGGAAAAAGAAAGCCAGTTGGGCTGCAAGGATAGCGCCACATAGGCACATGATGTACATGGACTTGTTCCATATCGCGATGCTATCGAGGAGTTAGAGCAGGTTCGACTTGACCAAATGAAAGGGATGCGTACACACGTATGGCCACCAGTGTCGAAGCACACTGTATCGCAAGGAACGCCCAAATCTGCGGTCCCAGTCAATCCGTGTACGAAAATAGTGACAAAATGACAAAAGCTCACGAAGACAAAGATGATCCACGTCTGGACGGACAAGAGTCAATACATGGACGCCTCCCGAGACGACAAGAGACTGGACTAGCCTTGCAGTTGATCTGGGAAGCCGAGAAGTGTCAGTCAGCGACTGCGGAGACTCGAGACTGTACGAGGGCGTACCTCCGATGTCACGTTGAAGCCGGCAAAGATCGTAACAACGCCACCAAGCGCTGTATACCGGCAGGCCAAGTAGAACTAAAGCATGGTCAGCGTATGGCACTGAGCAACGGCGCAGGCCACGCACCCATTTCGCCCATGCTTGCCCTTGGTGCTGCGAGATCTTCTTGAGCAGATTGTAGTCGAAGGACAAGCTCGTTACGAGCTCCCAGATGAGGACACCTCCAAGTGCATGTTGTAGCTTAATGAAGTCCACTACACTCACGAAGTCAGTTTTCGGGTTCTCGCTCTGGACTGTGATTGTAAGACGTACGATACTGTGCGGCCAGTACAGTCGGATCGTTCCAGTTAATAGCCATAATAAAAAGCACCCGCTAACCAGTCGACCGCCACGCGTTGCGGGGGGACGAGGAAAAAGCTAGTTCCATGAAACCGTCGCCTCAACGTTATATACGGCAAAGAATCAACTGATCTGTGAACATGTACCCGAATCTTGCAATCAGAGCCCCACGTCGCAAGCCTGACCGGAGTCCGCGGTAGAGTCGTGGACCGTGCCTCGTCGAGCGCGCTCGGTCGTCTAACGGTCTTTACTTCTACCGAAGATCCGGGCCTACGCGCAATACCTGGTTTCAAGTCCGCGCTCAGCAAGCAAGGGCTCTTCTCCGCCGCTTCGCGTCGAACTCAATGTTGGATGCCCGGATAGACCGCACAAAGGGTGCAAGAGGTGCCACTGCTAAATATTCGGAGAGGCTATGTGACAGGTGTCAATGAGGGCGGGGGAGGAGGGCCCCTGGAAAGGTTGCGCTCTTGATGGAAAGAGGCCGACAAAGCACAGCGCGCTCAAGAGGCGCGCAGTGGCACCCATCGTGATGCGCGGGACGCATCAGCCGAGGTGGCCAGGTACCACGGAGGACTGGTCCGGGCTGGGCTCGAGACATTATCTTGCTCAGCACGCTGAAAAGTTATCTTGTGTGCGCGGCCCGGTAGGCGAACGTCGAGATGTTCGGAAGTCCATAATGCAGGCCGACGAGAAGATGCACGGAATCCGAGGGTACGTTGCGAGTTGCTAGGTGAGCCGCGCAAGGATCAATATTTTCAGTCCGCTTGAAACGGACATGGCGCGTTATCCGGCTTATAGTGAAGGCGGGGAATATGAACTGCTTTACAGGTAGCGAGCAAGCGGGGGTCTACGCGCGGCGGCCTATGGTTGTCCGAGGTCTGGAGGCCACTCGAAGTGGTTAGCACGCACTGCGATATTGAAGACAACGGTATCGGTGCGTGAACGGAGATCCCTCCGAGTGAGATGGCGGCACGTAGACAGGCGAGTATGTCTTCGTCGCAGTTCTTGCAGAGGTGTTGGGGGTACTGGCCAACGCGCTTACCTATAGGCCCGTAAGCAGACAAATGTCGCTAGACCTTTGAGGGGAAGAGCTCTGGCAATATCAGCGAATGCGATGATGTCTATTGACAAGTCCACGAAGCACAGACACATCCGAAACGTCGAAAGCAGATGGAAAGGAGGTTGCATAGGGTGGAGGAGTAGCGAAACAGTGTCGTAAGCAAGGTCGTAGCAAGGTCGTGAGCGATGATGAGAGCTGGTTATAGCTAGTCGTACAGGTGATAGAAAGCGAGTATAGTGTAGGGACGTCAAAGCAAGAGCATTCCGAAAATAAATTCGTGAGTCGTGGGAGCGAAGTCGGAGAAGTGGCGTCGTGGGGCAGGCGGCTATGCCTTGCCAACCACGCTTTCGCTCTGTCCCCGCGGTCGCCCGTCCACGATGGCGGGCGACCGCCTCGCTATTGACGAGTCGTCGAGTGAGCGGGCGAAGAAGTCGTCGTCGCCCTCGTATGGTGAAAGCCCGGAATTTATCTGATTAATCGACACCACAGTCAGCGTGACGACCAAGAACAAGAATAGACACGGTACGAACCCATTGACCAAGCACCTCCTCCAATTTCGCCGCCTCTTCTGGCGTAAAATGGACATCCGTCCCCTTCTCCGCGTGCAACTTCAATAGTTCGCTCAATGTTCGTTTCCCATCTGCTCCCCGACCCGCCTGCGCGTCGCGCGTTGGCGCCTCCTCGGCGCCATTTGTTGGGAATGCTACGCGCGCAGAGCCCG